GTCAATTTATTCCCCCTGTCAATTTATCCCCCCTGTCAATTTATCCCCCCCTCCCTGTCAATTTATCCCCCACTCCCTTTTAATTTATTCCCCACCCCCTCTTTCAATTTATTCCCTACCCTCCATTTCAATGTATTCCCTTTTCGAGAGATTTATTTACCCTCCCTTTCAATTTATTCCCTCCTTCCCTGTCAATTCCCCTTCCCTGTCAATTCCCCTTCCTGTCAAATCCCCTTCCTGTCAAGTCCTGGAATTCCCCCTCCCTGTCAATTCCCCTGTCAATTCCCCTTCCCTGTCAATTCCACTCCCCCTTCCCTGTCAATTCCCCCCCCCCTTCCCTACCATTGTTGTAGCGTGGCCGAGCCCTCTATTGGTCCCCGGGTACAGGTAGCTTTTGTTTCCTGTACACGGCCGGACTAACAGGAAGTGCACACTCAGTGTGCACTTCCTGTTAGTCCGGCCGGGTACAGGTGACTGATGCTCCCTGTACCCGCAGACCAATAGAGGGCTTGGCCACGCTACAGTGAGGGAGTGACAGGAGGGAGCGCTGAGCGCTTCCCTCCTGTCAGCCCCTCTCCTCATGCTGCGCCCGGGCGGTTCGCCTTCATGGACGCACCGCCCGGGCAAAGCTGCAGCCGCCTGAGGCTCTCTACAGAGTGCTCGGGCGGCTGCAGCATGAGGGGGGCCAGCGCTCCTGGCGGCGCCCCTTCCCAAGGGGCGCCCTAGGCGGCTGCCTAGTCCAGCCCTGTACACAGACAAACAGATACACATAGACGCATACAGCCAGATAAACACACTGACTCAGGCCCAGATACACACACAGGTATCAATTTACACAGCCAGATATACACACAGCCAGATTCACATTCACAACTAGATGCACAGTCAGATACACACACCACAGGCAGATATACACACACAGCCAGGTACACACACATACACACACACACAAACAAACAGATACACACACACATAGCAAGATACACACACACATAGCCAGATACACACATACAGCCATATACACACACTGACACACACACAGCCAGATACACACATTGACACCCACACAGCCAGATACACACACAACCAGATACACACACTGACTCAGGCCCAGATACACACACATGTATCAGTTTACATATTGTATCCACTCTCCTGTCTCCTTACCTTTTAGATACAAAAGGGTGGCTTCCCTGGGGTCCTGTGGGCACTGGATGACCAAGGTTGATGGGAGTCTGAGGAACCAGGCTTCCTCAGTCCCTCTCCCCTCCTGTGTGTGCCTCCTCCATCTGCTCCTCCCCAGTGGCACCCTCTTACATCAGGCGCCACAGTTCACTGGGTTTGGTCAAGTGCAGGGGGCCCATGGGGCAGCTGCTTTGGGCCCCCCAGGAGTAACTGAGCCCAGAGAGATCAGAGGAATACCAGCTCGTTAAGCCCAAAATTCCAACTTCCATCTATCAATAGGTAATGGGTGCTAATAGACAGAGATGTTGCGAACTGTCCGCCGAACTGTCCGCCGGCGAACAATAGCGTGTTCGCGTTGGGCGAACATTTCCGATTTCCGGTCCGCCCCCTTTACGTCATCATTGAGTAAACTTTGACCCGGAACCTCACAGTCAGCAGACACTTCCTGGGAGGGAGGGTCTGCTGCTGATTGGGTGGAATGTGTCTGCTGGCTGTGAGGTTCCGGGTCAAAGTTTACTCAATGATGACGTATAGGGGGCGGACCGGAAATCAGATATGTTCGCCCAACGCGAACACGCTATTGTTCGCCGGCGGACAGTTCGCGAACAGTTTGGCGGACAGTTCGCGATATCTCTACTAATAGACTATCATTATGTATAACTCTTGTTTCTAAAAATAAAAGACTGCAGGGGCATGATCTATGCACTACACTACATTCATTATGCAAAAGTTGTTTTGGTGCTTAGAGTATCCCTTTTAATTAGAGATTATACATAATCATGTGTAAGCTGTCTTTTTGTTGCTTTATTTATTTATTTTTTTGTTGTTCTTTGGGCTATTAGTGCATTTTTTTATCAAGTTCCAAAATTCAATATCATTAATCTCTTCTTTATTATGCAGAGTGCTTACACTAAGTCCTATAACTTCAAAGCCAGAGTGAGAATAGTTGTGCCTAACAGAACTGGAACAAATAAAGATTACTTTTTGGAGACCCGATGGATAGTGCTCATTATTGGACTTTCTGTATAAAATAGTGTACAATTAGATGAGAAAGCCACGAAACACTGGCTGGTATTGTCAACTACGGTATATAGACAACAGGAACTATGATAATGTACCCCCTTGTTCTGTTCATCACTTGGCCACTCACAATAAGATTACAATTAATATGTTTTAAACTCTCTGCAGAGAATATTCACCACTTCATATCCGTGCAAAAAAAAAACTATTGAATTCTCCGTGAACGAATATGTGATATTTGCTAACCCTCAAATAAATTTAGAATTGTATATTAAAACAGATCCAAGGGCCAGAGTATACATTGTAAAGCCCAAAGCCCATCATTGGGGACAAATATCAGTATTACACAAAATAATTTGCATCATATGTTCTGTACATGGAACTTGTTGATTGTTTAAAAAAGAAAAAAACAGTTGGACCAGTATCAATGGTAGGAGTGGTTTTCTTAATAGTTTAGGCACTTATAGTTACATTAAAGTAAATTTTGGTGATGGGGTTTGTCAGTTTACAGCTGGAATAAATTAGATCTCTGCTTGATCACTGTACAAATAATTTCTGTGGCATCAGTATCATCTTTTGTCACAAATGTACATTCATACAACACTGCGAACTTAAGATTCTGTATGAGCCTTCATAATTTATAGATTACTCATTCTACACTGATCAGCCACAACATAAAATCCACTGATAGATGAATAACATTGATTATATTGTTACAATGGCACCTGACCAGTTCTTGAATTTCATGTGTTGGAATAAGGAAAAACAGTAAAAGTGAAAAGATCTAAGTGAATTTGACAAGGGCCAAATAGTGATGGCTTTGTATGGGGCATTTGTATAGCCGCAGATAAGACAACGTGCCAATGATAACCCATGTGCCTTCGCTGGGGATGTGAGAGTTAGAATTGGACCACTGAGCAGTGGAAGAAAGTTGCCTGGTATAATGAATCACATTTTCTTTTAGATCAAGTGGATGGGTGGATGTGCGTGTGTCATTTACCTGGGGAAGAGATGGTAGCAAGATGCACTATGGGAAGAAGGCAGGACAGTGGACGAATTGTAATGCTCTTGGCAATATTATTCTGTTAAACCTTAGGTCCTGGAATTCATGTGGATGTTACTTTGACACGTACCACTTACCTAGAGATTGTTGCAGATCACGTACACCTCTTCATGATAATGGGGTTCCCTGATGGCAGTGGCCTCTTTCAGCAGGATAATGTAACCCTGCCACACTGCAAACATTGTTCATGAATAGTTTGAGAAACATGACAAAGAGTTCAAGACATTGCCTTGGCCTTCAAATTTCCCAGATCTTAATCTAATTGAACATCTCTGGGACGTGCTAGAACAACAAATCTGATCCATGGAGGACCCACCTCAAAACTTGCAGGACTTAAAGAAACTGTTGCTTATGTCTTTTGCCGGATACCAGAGAACACATTCAGAGGTCTCCATGTTTTGGCAGCACGAGGAGGACCTACATGGTTTTAATGTTGTGACTGATTAGTGTACGTACAGGACAACAGGAGCCCAGGTAGGATTTTGCAATGTTATGGTACTGGTTAACTGTCAAATACACACAATATTCAGAGAATTTCTAATGATATGACATAAACCCACAATTTACAGTATGATTTAATTGGGTATAATGGACTGTACCACAACACAATTCTTCATATTTCTTCAGACTTGTTTTAAAGACATTTAATCATCAAGAGACACCCTACTGTTTCTCATTTCATGGCATGTATTTGTTTCCACCAGATGAGTAGAGATAGATTTCAGTGCTGTAAAATGTCAGAGATGCCCAAATATGTAACCGTGTATGTGATACTAGTGAAAGTAGGTTATCGTAAACCCAAGTGGTCTTTAACTGACAGGACACTATAAGTGCTCCATGTATACTATAATCCCTGACAGGGTAATGCATCTTCAAAGCAGGCAACTGAGATTATTATGATTTTATTTAAATATTTAAGTTTTGGGCCGTCCATCCATTAAGCGTTACAATTTTTGTAATGGTTTAGTGCCATATGAGAGTATATGAGAAAGCAATGACTGGCTTGATTGGCAGGGAGAGTGTCAGTTTTTTTCAGCCTATCACAGTGCCCACTGTTGGTATAAATTGGTATGGCTAGAAGGAAGTGTATGATCTCTGCCTATCCATGGGTATACACACTTAGTCATACTTTAAGCAGGTGCCTGGCTGCACGGGTATCAGTGACCATTATTTACTGGTAAACTGCTCAAAATTGTGTAACACTGTATGGAGGGACAATACCAGAGGACTCCAGGCACTGTAACCAATTCAATGAGATGAAATGGTTATAATGCTTACCATGTCCAAATGCAATAAATTCTAAATGTATTGTTTTCTAAGCAAAAAAATAAACAAAAGAACATAAACATAGCACTGTATTTCAAACGTCCTCTTTGGAGATTCTGAATTTTGATGAGTAGGGCAGGTCTGTCAGGTTAATTAAAATGTGATAAAACATTTTTTTTTTCTTTTTTGGAAACGAGAGGCAGATATTTCACAATTCACAATGACACTTTAAAATATATCACTTTTATCAAAGATGAAAATGTGAATTCCTTCTAATCCAAATTAGTCAGTAAATGCTTTGTGAATAAGTAAGAACAGATATGTCTCCGATCCTGAATTTAACTGACAACCCAGCTGTGCCATGCATGATCATTCAATGTGCTCACTATTTCGATTACAAATGTTAGCACTCAAAAAAAAAGGGAAAACATTATTTTATTCGAACACAAAGATTGAACAAAACTGTGTCAGACTCCAAGGCACCACCTTATTCCAAATGAGACACAAACGGATACATAGAATGCCCGTCATTAATTGTTAATGCAGCAATGGTTCTGTACATGTCGCTATTTGAAACTATTGTGACTTACTTGTAACATGTTAATGGATATAGCCTGAATGAAATATGTCAGGATACAGATCATGAATAGATGATTTTGAATAGAATTATCTTGGTTGATTGCATAAGCAATACCGCTTACTTTGAAATAACACCTCAAAGCAAAATAATGACGACATGACAATGTATGTAAATCAAGAACTGCATGTGGGTTTATTTTACACTTGAGAAAACAGTGGATTTAATTGTGTGAACCAAAATGTACTGTACAATATTAATGATAGAACATCAAAATGTATAATTCATAGTGCATTTCTTTATTTTGTATTTATTTAATTTTTATATTTTTTGTCAGTTTCTTTTCTACGTGCATCTTTAAAAAAAAGATGCAGGCTCCAGTAAAATTTCTCTGCTTAAGTCAATCTGCAAGAACTTATTTTTATTTAAAAAAAAATGTGATTTTACATTTTATATACACAGGGAGTTGAATATAAAATGACAATATAAAAAGTTCAAAGTGAAAGTATACCGCCGTAAGGTACAAAGGAAGCGAAAACTGTTTCAATTGGTAAGATATGTAACATGTATTCTTAAATTAACGTCTACTATTTACAGAGAACAAAACTCAATTTTTGACCCAGAATATTCGGCTATTTTGTCAGCCAGAAGGGGCCTGCAATGAAATGTATAGTTAAATTGCTGGTAGCAAAGGGGCGTATAAATGCAGCACGTGTAGGAAGATAACCTTGTACCAAAGCTTATTTTTGCAAATAACTATAAACTGTGATATGCATTTCACAGAAACAAAATATTTTATACATATTTTATAACATATTTGCATACTTTTTTTTGCCTGAATGAGAACAGCATTCAGATATTCAGTACAGAATGTGTATCTATATATATATATATGTATATATATATATAAATATATATATACACACACACATATATTTTCATATTCATATTCTTCTGTCACATTTTTACATAATGTCTTTTACACAATGTGGTATCCTAACGCAAGGAGTACTGAGAAAGTTTTCCTCCATCATCCCAGAGCTGCATGCATATTGTCGCATAAAATTCTGCATTTAAAAAAAATTTAAAAATAAAAATTAAGTTAAGACAAAAAGCAAATAGCAATATATGTTATTTTGTTTTTAAAGATTATGTGCTGTGTACAGACTTGACAATTGAATTAAATAACATTTCACTTTTATTCCAAAAGGCACAGAAATACTATGGCAGTGCTCAAAGGGTTAACTTGACACCACAAGACTTTCTGACCTTATTGTTATGGCAACCTGTTAATTTTAGGATGTTCTTCTTTTTTCATTGTTCTTTGTGTTTTTCTGTGGCTAAATTAATGTCTCTCAATAGTGTTTCCCACTACATTCTACAAAAAGATAGCTTAACATCAAGAACAGATGTTGAAAATTAAAAGGTCAGACATTGACTCACAATAAAAACATGCACAAATCAGACAGAGAGCATATAAATATAAATATAAAATATATGTAAGAAAAAAAAAAATTCCAGATAGGCAGTTCAGCAACAAAAAATAAGACTGATTTCAGAGGCTCAGGTCAGGCCTAGTGCAGAATTATGAATAAGTTTAGTGCAATGTTCTTGTGGTCACTTGCATACCTGACTGCATAACTGGATGTTACTGTTTTTCCATTTCAGTTACATATATCACATGGTCCTCTGGGGACTTCCCATGTGTCTTACTAAGGTGCAGTTTAACTGCGTGCTTGCTTGCAAATGTTCGATTGCACAGCTTACACTGGAATGTGGAGCCTGAATCCTCCTCAATAAGTCCAATGGAGCTTAAAGCCTTGTTGGTGATGACTTTTGAAACATTCTGATGTTCTTGAATCTGATTAAGAGAGAGCTTTGAAAGATCTTTCAAGCTAAATCCTAGATGTGTCTCTAAATGACTTATGTATGTGGAAGCAGTCCGGAACTGAGAGGCACAGTCATTACAAAAAAAAACAGGATGCCCTGTATCCAGGTTTTTTAAAAACTTTGTTCCCCCTGTCCTCCTTAATTGATATTTAACATTGGCCAGCCAGTGGCTAATTGTAGTCATAGAAAGACCTGTAAATTTAGAAATATGGACGCGTTCTTGAGGGCCCAGGTCCGACATTATGTACTTCCCTTCAGGCGTCTCCCGTAAGCTGGAGGCAAATTGAGCCTGGAGAATAAGGAGATGTTGTGGGTTCCAGTTGGACTGCCTGCCTTTTCTCTTATGTACAGGTGACAACTCATCCAAAGCCTCTTCAAAACTGCTGGCATCTGCATCAGATTTTTCTGATATAGTAGATGGAGTAGAGGATTTTGGGGTTAAGCGTCCAGTGAGGTTCTTTACCATATCAGAAATATCCATCAGTGCACTTTCTCTCAGAGGCGATGAAACTGGATCTGTCATACTTGTCACTAGGGGTTTGTTTTTGGACTTTGTCAAATCAATGGGCTGGTCACTATTTTCATAATAAAACCTCTCAATAGACTCTACTTGCTTTACCGGTGTTGTAGGATAAATTGGTTTATCTAACATACTATTGCTAATCTTGTACAACATAGCCAATGGATCCAAAGAAGGGCTTACTGGTTTGGACACTTTACCTAAATGAGTATTCATTATAGACTGCAATGCACTAAGTGGGTTAATAAATGATGGCTCAGGTGAATGGTCTGTGATTATTCCTAAATTGTTGCACCCGTTAGTGACTTTTGTTTTAAGAGGTTCTGTACCATTTGGTGTATGGTGTTCCAGTTGTGTTTCTTTTTTTGTTTTTTGAATTTCAGGCTCTGTGTTTTTCTTAAGGACTTTACTATTTGTGTCCTCAGATTTAAGAATGTCTTTATTTTCTTTAGCTACTGGTGATAATGGCTTGACAGGAGGAGTCTTTTCTTTCTCAAAAGGCTTTTCTTCTTTCTTCACATTGATTTTACCTGTTACCTTTTCTACAAGTTCTTCCATTGCAGAGACATTACTTTTGTGAGGTGGTGGTGTTATGCTTCCAGGGGAATGGATCAAAGCATTATGATCAGATGATAATGGCTTCACACTACTGGCATACGATGGTTGCATTTGAACACTTTGTACTGTTGGTTGTAATGCTTTTACAGTACCTGGTAATTGATAAGCAGCATGTATACTAGGATAGCCCCCCCATGATGGTGCCCCATTCTGGGCCTTGCTGATTGCACTTGACACTGTGTTTTCTAATGATTTTAAGATGTCAAGCCCACCTTTTGGACTATCATCTAAATCCTCTTCTCTGAGGTATTGGTACAAAGTTGCAGTCTCTACCTTTTCAGAGTCATCATTTTCTTCCTTGATCTTCTTTTCTTGCTCAACATTGTTAGTTTTATCCTTTTCTGATTCTTTCCTCTCCTCGGAATGTGTGGATCCAGTTGGGGAATCCGGTTGTTTTTTTATATAGGTTGCTGGTAGCCTTGCATGAGTAGTTGGGGGCAAAGGTATTGATTGGATTTTTTCTTCCATAACTGCATCTAAAACTAGTTGCTTCCCTTTCTTAGAGGCAGAGTTTGTTACCTTTAGGAAGTGTCCAGTGACCATCATGTGAGCAGTTAGTTGCTGTAATGTGTCATGAGAACTACCACACTCCATGCATTTTAAGATCTGAGCCTTCCGAGCCTCAAATTGCCATGTGTAGCTGGCACCATTTTGGTAGCCATACCGGTTGTTGGGAGTCACATATGGATTGACAGCTTTAGGGTCCTTTGCACCATCACTTGCTGATGCCCCTGGGGAAATCCCTGCTTGCTCAGGTGAGTCGGGTGAAGCTATATCCTGAAGTGCTCTTTTTTTTGTTGAAGGAACTAGTTTTGTGATGGCTGGTACTGGCTCCTTCAGAGGCACTTTTTGGTAATGCTTCGTTTTAATCATATGTACACTAAGGTCCTGCAAAGATTCAAATGAATGTCCACAATACATACATTTTAACACTTTCTGTGCATCCTCTTTACCTTCCATTTCCATAAGTGATCTTTTCCTGGGCTTGGACCAACGTCTTGTTCTTTCAGAATTCCTATCTCTATTGTCATCCCGGTAATGTCCAGTTTCATTCATGTGCACAGTTAGCTCTACTAATGTGTCATAAGCTGCACTGCAATCTTTGCACCGAAATTTGCTGGCACCAGTAAAAACTGAGCCGTATAGTTTATTGTTTTGCCTATAAAGTTGCACTGTGCTGAATAGGCTGGGTTCCGGCAGTAGTCCATAAGATGTTTGCTGCAATGTTTTTGCTAAAGCAGCCTGATGCCAATCATATCCTGATGCATTGTTATTATTTGAAGTGTTACTTGTACTAACGCTAATGCTAGTACTTGTGTTTGTATTGCTACTACTGCTTGTGATGGCGGTAGGTGTGACAGGGCTAGACTTTGCTTCTGCATCCTCACTCTGACTGCTTTTGTTGGTGCTTGTAGTAGAACTAGATTTTTTTAAATCCAAGCCAATGTTGGACCAACAGCATTCTGACAACAGGTTTGTATAAACCGCTTTGATTTGCGCCAAACTGTCCTGAGGGAAAGACACATTGTCCGCATTTTGACCATCCTCTCTATCTTGGCCATCTTTGGAGGAAGTACTTTTGAAGTCAGCTAACTGATCACTGGTCTCACTGAAGGGTGAACCATAGCCAGCATCATGATTTGTTGCACTGCTGACAGGTGAATTTTGGTAGCTCTGACTCTCTTTAATTTCTGGTTCCTCGCTGTACAGATAGTCACTGTCCTGGACATCAAGAGAAAGTCCATCATCTTCCACATTGTCTTCATTAATTTCAGCTGCCTTTAATTCCTCTGCAGGAACATATGCTATAACAGAGAACACAAAGTGTCAAAACATTTAAAATCAACATCATTTCAAATTAACATATTCAATAAGCTGCAAAATTGGAACTGCTAAAGTCTAAATATTTACCCCCCATAAATAATATCTCCAAAAGCAATCCTAACATATCTTAATTATCTTAAATATTTATTTAGTATGTTTTATGGTAAATTCTGCTGTCCTGCTTTGTCTAAAATAAGCAACCTACTTTTGTAAAACATTTTCTGTGTGTGACCATGTACCATTTGAATAAATGAGTTCGGAGAAAATCATATAAAATTAATTTGTCACACAAATAATAAAGGGGAATAGAATTATAAAAGAAAGTAGATAGATGCCATTATTATGTTTATCAGAAAAAACATGAGTTCAAACATGTTTGAAAATGTTACCATTAACATACTTTCATGCACTGACACAAATATTTGCTTAGTGAATGCTTCCCTTTAACAGACATGTAGGCACCTAAACATGTAAGCCTCTGCTACACATCATCAGTAACAGAAATTAAAGAAAAATACAGAACATTAATTATAGTAATTTATTTAACTGAAGGTGGTAAACATATGGGATTTGTGTGCATTCCTTGTTACTTTACCTCTAGAGGAATGGGGGAGGGATTTGCACTGTTACCTGAGAACATGTTTATTTACAGTAATGCCATTAATAATAACCCTTTTCATCATAGTATCTGCAATGAATTGTGCTAGCAACTGTCCTGGAGTATTCCTAAGGTTAAATGTGATATTAATGGACAGGTGGTTGTGGCATCAAAATACACTACCACACTACTACACTCTTGGCTCTGTTCCCAATAATTGGGTGCTGGCTTCTAACTGATAAACATGTGTAAATAAATGCTATACTTAGAGTTACACTCTTCATTTACTCAAACACAACGGCTTTCATATACACATTGCAAAATATACTGGACAAATGTGGCGTTTATCAACAGCAAAACCTGCATAAAACGCTGTTTACTCTCTCATTTACAGAGGATATCGAAGAGTGTGACATGCAGACGTGCCTGTTGTCGAACTCCGAGTCTGTGCGAGATGTGTTTTATTATCTTGGGTAAATAAAGTGTACACATTAAATATATTTATCAGTTAAACCCATGGGTAAAACGTTTATAATAGGCAAGGACATGTTTAAAAAAAAACAAAAAAAAAAAACAATAGAGGTATATTTGCATTCAAATAAACCTCAAATTGTTATGATTAAATGCCAACAACAATATGGTGAAAGGGAATTGGGGGCACAACCGGAACATGCATTTTGCAGGAATGGTGCTGCCATAGTGACCAAAATGTATACATAACACAGATTAAGGAACAGCGCACACATAAAAATATTTTTTTACATTTTATAAGGCCACTTAAATTCACCTATCTCAGCAACCAAATGGTGGTGCTTCCAATAATCACTGTAATTAGTGCTACATCATGTTTAGCATAGGTTAATTTTCCCCATCTAGAAGGACTATTCATGCATCCACCTGGACGCAAATGTGGCATTCATCAACTCAGAGCAGTTGGATAAGTGTGCATCCACCAACAAACGGCGACTTTAGAAAGTAGGTGTTCTATTGCTCGCCAGAGAAATGTGGCAGTAAAAAATGTTAAATAATTGATGTCTATACATTTGCCAGCTGCTGGCGCCTATAATATCCAGAAAATATTTGGATGTTTATTAAATGGGACTCTGTCTTACTTTAGCATTGACACCGGCTATGTGCAACAAGTTGTGTTGTGGGTTTCTTGCTATGTGTGTGTATGGTCTTGATGTGGTAACAAGACCTGTTTTCCCACTTAGCACCCTATTAGAATTAGTGCATGCGACACTGGGTTACCAACTAAAGTAGAGCACTCACTATATATAATTTTTGTATGTATGTACATCTGCAAGACCTGAAGCAACATTAGCACATCAAATCTGAAATCTACAGATTTGAATTTCAGTCCAGCATTGTATATAATACCATGCTGTAGAAAGACCCCTCCAGTGTTACAGTTATTGCAAATAGTTTCCAAGTTCTTCATAAATGTCTTTGCCTCTAGTGGTATATAAATAAATTAATGAATATCTTCAGTTAAAAAAAAAAAACACTTTATTTTTATATTACAAAATAACTGGTGGCTGATCAGGACACCAGATAAAAAACTTGGTACAGGACACCAAAGTCTCTCCAAATCTGGGACTGTTGGGAGGCATCATTTATTTACTGCTAGAACATTGTTACTATGTACTGGACTGACCACATTTTTAAGGCGTATGTGATCATTTTTAATCAGCAGACACATTTTAGCCTCGGGATATTGGACATGCATTAATTACTTGGTTAGATTAGAGGGAACGCTATGGCAGAAATAGGTGCCTTAAAGACTATGTTCAACACCACCAAAATATCTATCTATTTATCTAAATCTCTCTGTAAGTATTCATGCATCAAAAACAAAAAAGAAAAGTAAACATACTTTTATTCTAAAATAAGATATACTAAAAAGGGACGGATTAACCCATTCTGGTCCCCTAAAATCCTCCACCTCTTTTCCCATATAAAATGTTAGTGCAGTGTATGTTCTAGTGCAGTAGTAAGATGCCCACGTAGATTCATTGGAATCTGGATGGCACTGTCTTTCTGTTCTGATGAAACAGATGTGCTGTCTTCTCTGGATAACATTAAATGCTTTGCGAAATAATTTAAGCAGACACAATGAAATATATGAATATTTGTTGTATCAAGAGAGAGCCTTCAAATTCATATTTTCCCCATTTTTTTTGTATGAAATAGTACTTAAAAGAATAATATCTAAAATATTTACAAAAAAAACCCTCAAACCAGCTATGTTTAAAATATATGCTTATTGTTTAAAATGTATTAGCCTTTTTTTAAAACAAACAAAATATATATAACAAAATTTGAAATACAATGAAATCAGTTGATATATTTCTACTATTTTCTGTTCAATCAATATAGATGTATTTACTTAAAAAGTGTATGTTTGTCTTCTTTCGTATTAAAGTCGTATAACATTTGATCACTGTAAAGTAAATCAAGATCGTAAATATTGTAAAAAATCTGATCTGGGTAAAATGTTCTTTGTCAACTACTTTAGTTTACATCATGCAGATTTCAATTCAGTATACATGATAACTTTATATGTATGACTCACCTTTTAAGGAACACAAAAAACAAGAATAGGCAAATGTGTATGGTGGTTTGGCATTGCATACAATTATACCAATCTATATTTATATATTTTCTAATCTCATACATTCTTCCAAAAGGCAAAGTTGTATAGTATTTTTTTATGAGAAAAAGACAATCCCAAAAGAAATTAAACTGAAAATAATTTGTAAAAAATCAGCATTTCCAAAATAATGTTTTATTACAGTGTCTGATGACATACAAGTCTTTTAAGGAACTGGTACTCAAAGATGGCTGTCACTTTAGATAGGGGACAGCACGGCTCACCTAGACATGTGACACTTTGGTGGAAGTTGGGTTTTCTGTAATACTGAGAGCAGCAGAGATCGAATTGACAAAGACTGGGAGGCTAACTTGCCTTAGGCTCTCAGAAAATGAATTCAGTATGCATGTATATTTTAGCCTTTATTTTTAGTTTTATATTTTTTTTTACTTCAGGCTCAAAAATGAAATTCTATTTGTTTTAAATGGATGAAAATAGAATTGGGAATGAAGTGGTTTAACTGAACATCACTCTTTAGTGACAATTGCGTTGATATCTTAAATTTTTGTTAAAAATGTAAAATGGAATAAAATTAATTAGATGTTTGCTCTCTCTCTCTCTCTCACTATATATATATATATAAAAGAGAGAGAGAGAGATTATTAATATTATTAAACAACCAACTACAAGACCACATGAAATAATTGCTACATATGGTGCAAAGTTTAATTAAGAAAAAAATTATTTTTAACATTAATATTTAAATGAGAAACACCATTCATATAGATATCTTAAAGTTTCTGTATTGTAGTGTTGTGTTGTAACACTTATAGGTTTTTTCCAGTTTTACATTTGAATAATATTTGAATGGATTCATATATCACCCCTGACCAAATAAAACAAACGATAAAAAAGACCTTATAAAAGTGTTAAGGTTTACAACTTTCTGCAAATGCTTCCTTTAGATCATAGATTGTTTTCATTGTATCACATAATTAGTCAATAAACAATAATACACTTACTGTAGTTCAAAGCTGGCAAAATACTAAAGAAGAGTAACATAGAAAAAAAAAAAGAAGCTAATAATCGAAGGAAAAGAATAAGAGAGAAAACAGAAGAGTCAACTGCAAAAAAACGAAATAAGTTAAGTTGCATATCTAATGCTCAATAGATCATTGCACATTCCAATCCTCTTTGTGTCTTTCACAGTTGAATAAGAATGTTAGCTCAATAAAGTGTGTTTCTTAAGCCACACAGCACGTAGCTAAAGCACAAAAAGTCTTATTTTTCCACCAGCCATGAGAACAGAGCTCAAATTTGCTCAATTGCATATACAATATATACGTGAAATTCCCATTGCAAACCTGCAATAACAAATCATTTACATACACATACACACAGACACACAAAAGTCGAGAACATGCAATAACTATGAGCTGAATGCCGGACCATTGCAGAGAGAATGGAAAAAAAAAAACCCTTTTGTGGCAGATCTATCTTTTCAGAAGGCCTGCAACTTGTTAAATCTGTAAGAATACCTGTCACAGATATCCTGCTACACCATTTGGCTGATGTCAAACCTAAATAAACCAGATCAGAAAACCAGCAAGTGGCAGAACGTAAATGAAATGGGAGAGGATCTGTCTAACTATACCTCGCATGGCTTGCTTGCTGATTTTATTTTTTTTTTCTCTTTTTATTTTGGAGGAGGGAAATTGTGGCAATCACCACAGTCATTTGTAGTACTAATGTCCAATTCAGCCTCCTTTCATTCTCCTTATTTAGGTGGTCAGAATGGTTTCATAGCCGACACGGGGAAGCTGTGCTGTTTAGCAGGATGTTTAATGGGAAACTGGCAGTCTTATTTCTTTTCTAGATTTGGTTTGTCACTAGGTCTCCATTACATGCCACTCAGCTTTGATGCCTTTGGACAGGGCTGATCAAAAGATGTCATTTGACCTACACAGCATGGCAGAAACTTGGAGAAGTCTCATAAAAGGACACTTTGGCTGTAAATAAAATGACATTATTATTTCCTCTGTCCTATCATGTAGAAAAGCCAATTATGGTAATGCACTGCATGTCAATGGAAATATAGCAATCTTTTTGGAGTACCTAATGCAGGCATCAGTGTTGCAACTCTCGCTCCTGTGAAAATGTACCCATTGGATACTAAGAAGGAGAAAGGTGATAGATGTCTTCAAGACTGTTAATAAATTCTAGCACGGACATAAAAAGTGCAAGTCAGCAAAACAATTGAAAGTGTAAAATGCAAACTGTTAAGTTTCCAAATTATCTAGTAATTTAATCTTGAGTGATTTATATTCCGTCACTAGAAGCCTGCATCAAATTCTACCTTTACTGTTTGAATGGCAGGGAAGAGAATTTATAGCACTACTAAACCTTTACTACCTACTAATACTTATATTAAAAAAAACAGTCTTAAAAAAAGACAGTGAGATCTTGACCTTGCAGCTGTATTCCATTTTAAGATCATACAAAATCAAATAATGTGGTACTGCTTCAATGATATTTCAGTTAATAGCTGGTTAAAGCATTTCAGAATGATCACATTTGATCACACATTAAACCAGCTTAAATATACCTTACAATAATTGATTGTCATAAGAAGTGAATCTCTCTTTAGCTAGAGGTTAATAGTTAGAGGCTGGGTATGTGATTCACACCTTTATGGAAGCTCCAGTGTCAAAGTTCATGAAAGGGAGCAGATTTATAGCATTGAATGAACAAACACCTTTTATAATCCAAAACATGGTAACTGTGTACGTGGATACGTGACTTGCTCATTCACTATACCTATGATGGCAATGTTAGCACTTCCAGATATTTAAGAATTCCATTTCCCATGATGCTCAGCATCTACCACCATACTAGATTTTTATTTACAATTATTCATCACCTTAGTAATTTGAAAAGATGTCTGATTATTTTTCCTTATTAATAAGTGTACATTAAATTCCTCATGGGAGTCAGAGTGTAGGCATGGCTGGCATTTTTGAATAGTAGGAGATCATGTTATGTACAAAAGACGAACAATAAATAAAAAATATAGCATGACACTATGGCTGGTCAGCATATTAAAGAACAAACAGGGAAACAAGCACATGGAAACAAGGAGTATATGAAATAAAAATATCAATATCAATATAAATAATATTGCCTCAATGAAGTGGTCTGAATGTCATGTCTCCCTTGTTTTAACCCTGCAGTATAAAATAGTGCCGTTTATATTGCAGAGTAATATGCCTCTTGTGTTTGTAACAAACTCCACTATTTCAATTGGGTGGTACTCCTATATTATCATAAAACTCATACCTGATTTAAACAGTATTCATTGTACTCATTGAGAGCCTTCATCTGACACTATTAGCCAATGAGTACTGTCTAAACCTAGAATTAGTTGTATAATAAAGGGGAATTATGAAAGTCTGTTATATTGGATCAACTCAGATTGGAAGGACTATGGACAAAGAAAGCGAGCAGTTACGTTGTGAGTGCTTAAACAGCTGATTATGCCCTTTTACCCAGTTTTTTCAATCACCCATTTCCTAACATATGACACAAACCTTGTGGGGCTACTACTGAAGTATCCTAGGGGGCAGCAGACACAAGTTAATGTAACTTAATATGAAACACTGATATTGGGGGCTTGTTAAAAGGTTTACATTAAGAGTAATGGCTGGGAAAATGTGTCTTACCCACTCATTTATTGTAAGTTCATTTGAACAGGGCCTTCTTTACTTCCAATATCCCCTTTCTATAATTGTAAAACACTGCAGAATATGTTGGCTTTTTTTATAAATGCTAATAATAATATTTCAGAAGAAAGGTTGAGGAACACAACTGAAGTGTACTAAGAACAAAAGACAAGAGTAAAAACAAAAGAACAAAATACTGCAGTCAGGGCCAGTCCCTCAGCCTCTATCTTTCTGCTATCATTCCTATACTCCCACTATCATCCTAAGCCCCTATGTTCAACAACACACCCACACTATATCCCCTACATCTACCTACAACTCCTATTTATATGCATACAAACACAGCCTACCCTGGGCAGGTGCACGGGGTGTACAGAGCCCAGACGCTCTGTGAGTAGAGACCCATTGCAGTGGTAGGCTCCGCCCCTCTCTCTAAGTCCCACCCTTTGTGTTAAGCTCCGCCTCCTGTCTGAAGGCCCTCAAAGCTCCTGGAAGGCTGGTTGGGCTGGAAAATAAAGCTGGAAGGTGAGCACATACAGGGAAGGGGGGAGGGGGCTACATAAGAGGATGGGGCAAGGGGCTAAAGTGGGTACAGGAGGGGAGGTGGCTAAAGAGGGCACAGGAAGGGGATGGGCAAAAACGGCACAGGAGGGAAGAGGGCTAATAAAGAGGGCACAGGAGGGAAGGTGGCTAAAGAGGGCACGGGGAGGTGCAAACGAGGGCACAGGAGGGAAGGGGGCTAAAGAGGGCACAGGAAGGGGAGGGGTAAAAAGGGTACAGGAAGGAAGGTGGGCTCCATAAGGGCTCAGGAGGCTGTTAAATGGTTACATAAGAGCACAGGTGGGAAGGGGGCTAAGAGGGCACAAGTAGGGGATGAGCCAAAGAAAGAGCACAGGAGGGGAGGGGGGCTACATAAGGGGATGGGGGAGAGGGGCTAAAGTGGGTACAGGAGGGGAGGTGGCTAAAGAGGGCACAGAGAGGGGCAAACAAGGGCACAGGAGGGGAGGTGGCTAAAGAGGGCACAGGAAGGGGAGGGGGCAAAAAACAGCACAGGAGGGAAGAGGGCTAATAAAGAGGGCACAGGAGGGAAGGTGGCTAAAGAGGGCACAGAGAGGGGCAAACAAGGGCACAGGAGGGAAGGGGGCTAAAGAGGGCACAGGAAGGGGAAGGGTAAAAAGGGCACAGGAGGGAAGGTGGGCTACATAAGGGCTCAGGAGGATAAATAGTGCACAGGAGTGTAGGGGAGCTACATAACGGAACAGGAGGGGTGAGGGGCTAAAAAGGGCACAGAAGGGGAGGGTGGCTAAATAAGGGGACAGATGGGGAAGAGGGCACAGGAGGGGGCTACACGAGCAGACAGGAGGGGAGAGGGGCTAAAGAGGATACAAGAGGGAAGGGGGCTAAAGAGGACACAGAAGGGAGTGGTGCTAAAGAGTGTACAGGAGGGAAGGGGGGCTACATAAGGGGACCCGGAGGGGAAAGCGGCGAAAGAGGGCACATAAAGGGAGGGGGCTAAAGAGGGCATAGATGGGGGGCTGCGTAAACAGACAGGAGGGGGGAGGGGCTAAAGAGGACACAGGAGGGGAGGGGGGCTAAAGAGGGCACAGGAGGAGAGGTGGGCTGAGGGGAGACATAGAGATACACACAGAGGGGCTGGGGGGGCACATAGAGACACACACAAAGGGGCTGGGGGTACATAGACACACAGAAGGGCTGGTGAGACAAAGATCACTTGGGGGGCAAAGAGACACAGAAGGGCTGGGAAAGGGGGAAAAGAGGACACACAAAGGAGTTGTGGGACAAACAGATGCACAAATTGGCCAGGGGAGAAAGAGACACACAAAGGGGCTGGGAGAGACAAAGAGGCACACAGAAAGGCTGCAGGGATGACAGACACACACAAAGGCTGGGGGGTGAGACACACAGAAGGGAGGGGGGAAAAAGAGACACACAAAGTTGTCAGCAGCAGTCAACCGGCTAGCCACAGCAGCCAGCCTGCCAGCGGGCCAGCGGGCCACACCAGCCAACCGGCCAAAGCAGCCTGCCAGTCACAGCAGCCAGCCAGCAACAGTAGTTAAGGTGAGAAGAGACAGCTTGAGCTGGGTATCACAGAACTTTGTTATATTACTGTATTGTGAATGGGGGCCAGTATTTTAGAGAAAACCCCCTCCGTGGCCCATTAGACTCCATGGGTCCTTGAGGGGACTATTTTTATTTTTATTTTATTTTTTATTTTATTTTTTTATAATTCTTTATTTTTGCAGTGCAATATATAATAAGTCATAACAGCAGGCGTGTGGTGCCCCAATAGCATTCCTCACGCTGAATATCAACATTTTAACAATGGGGTTTTCATAAATCCTTGCACATTTTTTAGTTATTTAGTCGAGATTGTCCACGCTTATTTTTAACATACAGTTTACATATTTGTGGAATGAATATTCTTGAAAACATAAAAAAAAAATTGTGGATGTTTTTTAAATTTAAAAAATGTAGAACACACTACATCCCGTGCACACACACACAGAGACATACCCTGCATTCCCTGCGCACACACAGAGACACACTGCATTCCCTGCACAGATGCAGATACACACTGCATTCCAAGCATACACTACACACACTGCATAGCATAATGGATGTGGTCGTGTTTTGGTGTGCATGCTTTTGGTGAGGAGGGGAGGGCAGCATTTCATAATATTTTTAATGTATTTTTTACGGTGCAGCTGAGGTGGATTATTGGGCAAGATTAATATCAACTATAGGAGGTGTTATCAGATGTATTTTTTTGGGCTGAAGTCCCTAGTCCACAGAGCAACGCCCCTGGGGATGGGGTAGAGCCAAAAGTGGAAGAGAATGGTGAGATGTCACACAGGGACATTCAGAAAAATAAACAAACATACTGCTGAAAACAACAATGCATGCACACACAGTAACATCCAGTGAAGGACACCCATACATACATACAAACATACACACACAAGCATATTACAAATAGATTATTTCATTCACGAATACATTCCATACAAATATTCAATAACTGCATCTGCACACATTAATATTATACACAAATACTCATTTGAATTCACATACATCTATAAATAAATTTATTTATTACAAATATATTGACTCTGCAAAATACACCCAGAGAGATGGCACTGATTAGCTATTTTGAGACAAAGATGGCACTGGGAAGCTGTATGTGGTCAGAGGCGGCACTGAGAAGCTGGGCACAAATATGGCACTAAGCTTTTTGGGGGCATAGCTGACACTGTAGGAAGTGGATGACATGTGACCTGGGTTGAGGGTGTGTGGTTTCCACAGAAATTGGGAAACCACACACCCAAAATGGCTAAACCCTGCATAATCTGTTTTTTAAAAATCACCATAACAAAAGGGGGAAACAACCCTTGTGCTTGTGCAATCATGTGCTATATAGCATGCTACATTGATGTTTCAGAGAATAGAGGACATTTGACTAGCAGGATTACCATCAGATGCAATCTCAATTTTTATTATTATATCATTGCAGTTTATACAAGCTAAATTTCTATTATTAATAGAGTACAAACATTTTTATTCTTGGTTAACTAAACTGTGAAAGTTTTACATCTTAACGAACCCTTGTGCCTCTGGCTCAATTAATAAACAAGTACTTAACACTCGCCCAGTCCATAAAAAGGAATTCATTATAAAGTATTTTTTTCCAACATTTTAAATGGCCAAAAAGTAAAAATTGTGTTTTAGGGCTAGAGTCTGAAGGTTTATCAAAGGTCTGCAATTTACCTAAAAAAAATGAATAAATAAAAAATACTGCAAAAAAGATTAATGTATTTACCCTAAATGAGGAATACATTAAATGTCTAGGAATCCAAACAATTTTATTGGTTTCAGGTATTGGTCATAGAGAACAAAGAGGAAATTATAGTGCAGACAGATGAAGTTGTGCAAAGATTTAAATTTGAATCCCCTAACAGCTTACATCTGTAGAAAATAGACACCCATTTACCAATGGGCCGTCTCACTATTTTATGTGAGATTTATCACCAATCTCTCTCTAAACTTCCACTTACATTTTATCATTGGTAAAGTTTTCAAACACAAATGTAATTATAATTTTCACTATGAAAATTGTAATCATGATGTGACTTAAACAGAAAAAAGGTTTCTCTACTTCCACTGAGTATTTCAATACTTTATTATAGTTTGGTGGCCACTTTCTAATTCAGACTGCAATTTTAGCAAAATGATCTAATGATGCCCATCTCATATTAGGGACTGAATTGAACCCCCAACTGAAAATCGTCCTCATGGTGCATACTATTTGTTAAAGAGGAGAGACTGGGCTATTTTGCATGGGGTAGTTTGAGTGTTTTCACATGGGTATTTTATCACTAGTTTCTACCATCCAATCTAAACAAAAATACAAATCTCTTTCTAACCTATGTGCCATTCTAAGCCTAATTATATGTGATTTCATGTCTTGGCTGTAAATAATCTCAGATCACAGCAGTCAATCAGATCTGTACTGGTGAACATCCAGCAATAGCTCAGTATATGCCAGTCTCAATATATATCCAATAACAGCTGTGTCTCGATACCCACAGCTTAGGATTGTCTTTAAATGGCCAAAATACATTGAAAAAGAAACAACATTTTAGCCATCACTAAGTGGGTAAAACCACAATGCTATCGGTTTATTGTTGTGGAACAACACAATATGCGTAATCTATCATGTTTCATGGCTTCTAGAAAAAGAAGGGGAAATGCATGGAACCCAGACTGTAAGTGTTTATCCTAAAAAAAAGATACATGCATTGATTTTATGCAGCATTCCTGCAAACACTGGAACACTTGTTTTTCATTGGGTAAAGCTAGAGGTACAGACATACATCTTGCTATGATACAGCAGTCATTTGTAACAAGCAAATATATATTTTATTTACACAAATCCGTTTCTAAACTAATTATCTGTAGTTTGAACTATATCACTGTCATTTTAATTGCTACGAAACTCTGTGATAGGCTCATAGATACAGAACATACCAATTGCTCATACATAAGAAATGGAAAAATTATTTCATTACTTTTTTAAAATATTTAAAATAACAGAGTGTGTGCAATTTAGCTTTTACATCAATTATTACGTAATGCGTAAGTACATCTACCCACTGCATCTCCTGGATCTCTCTCCATGTAAGGTACTATCTTTTAGGTTTTGGTTAGATGCTCTATTTATACAATCATAGAACATGCAGGTTAATAAGAGTGCTACAGTGTGTTCACAAATTCTAATATCATGCACAAGCACCAAGGATATTAAAACAGTGCTCTTATCGAGTGTTAACTGTTCAAATTGCAATTGGACTTTGATCAGACTCAAAGATGGCAGCTCTGGTGGAGCAAGGGTGATGTAGAAGATATATTGGAAAGGGGAATTTAAGTAGGTATTATTAACCTATGCTCAACTAATATCTTGACTATATAACGTGTTTTCTTTTTCAATAATAAAAATATTCAAGTTTTCTTTTAATATAAGAAGGCATTGAGGATTTGTGTACAAATTACAGTTTAAAAAAAAATTTACCACCAGCAGTGCAAAGACTAAGGCAAACCATGTGAGACTCCAATATCTCCGCAATTCACTGTTTCCTTCTGCAAGGGATGGATTTTGGCTTTAGCAATCGATAAATGTGATTATATTTAATTTACTTTTTTTTACACAAAAACTTAACAAATAAACTACAAATAAATCATATTCCTCCATGAGCAACAGAAGTAAAAAAGGCACAGTAAAAAATACATTCTTTTACAAATCTTTGATATATAATCTTCTACGTCATTTCATTTTTAAAAACCCTAAGGTCATGTAACACACTTTCTCTGTCATTTGTAAGTACATTAACTCGGTGGCCATGCGGCAGTGAAATTATTATAATGGGCTGTTAAAATGGGTCAGGCAGGCACTGCATCCAATCTGAGCTTCAAACAACAGAGAAAATACAGTTCAAATCAAACATGACAGCATTATCATCTGCACTGCATGCCTCACTTTCCCAAAGCATTTCCAGTCAACAGAAGCAAAGACTATCCGCAATATATTTCAGTTTGATTTTTTTTTTTTTTTTTTTTAATTATGTCCCCAAGAAAATCATTACATTCAACTAGAATTTTTTTTTTTCATGGTACTTTCTTCACTCTTGTAAAGAGATGCAGTGTTTTAAAATGTAACCCTCCTAGGCAAACAATCATTAAGAGCAAAAAGGGCTATGTAGCCTGTTTACAAAACTGTTTTCTGCAATTTACCTAGTACAGAATTGGACCTTTAATAGTTTATTATACCCACAGAGAATGCTATTTCACTATTTATGCTTATTAACTCCTTTAATGCTACAATGCCTGCAATCCTTTATAACGCATTAGGCAGCAGACCCTTAGGCATTCTAGGGATTGTAAATAACATTATTTTGATTATTAAATATATGAGATAAATGATGTTAAATCCTCCTCCTCCCCTTCATGCCCCAAATCTCTCTGCGTACCAAAGGTTCTACCAATAAAATGCTGTCAATAAAAGTAATTCAAGTAAATCATTAGAGCAAACTCCTAGTTAGCACCTGCTCTCACACCTGTATATTAAAGATACATTTGTGTTATGGTTATGCAGGAATTCAGCAATCGAAGAGTAGCTCACATAGTTAATTCACAATCAAAGCCAGCATTAAAGAGGGACAAAACTACTAGGCAATGACGGTATCATATAATGAACTTTGATTTTAAAGGGATATTACAGGTACAGCGATTTTATAGAGAAAAACTACTGTATACATATATACATCTGAAAAGCTAGCCAGGTAGTTAGAGTGATCTATTCCTTCTGAAACACACCACTATTATGCAATACATGATAGCATAACAGTTCTTAAATTGCTTGGAATTTTATATATATAGCAATCGATAACACTAGTTTTAACACATTTTATATGTATAGCAATCGATAACACTAGTTTTAACACATTTTATATGTATAGCAATCGATAACACTAGTTTTAACACATTGTAAAGATAAATGTTTGTGTGTATATATATATATACACACACACACACAAACATTTATCTTTACAATGTGTTAAAACTAGTGTTCCATGGATGCTAACATTTACTTCATGATTAGGATTTATAAAATTTGCTGCAACAGAAATGTGATTTTTGACAATATTGCAAATATATCAAACAGAAAAACCTGAAATATCCCATTGACATGCTTATTCAGAAACACACCTCAATACTCAGTTGAACACCTTTGACAGTAATAATAGCATAAAGTGTATTTGGGTCTGATGCAACAAGCTTTGCAGACTTGGATTTGGATAGTTTCTGCCATGCATCTCTGTAGACCATCTCAAGCTCTACCAGCTTGAATAGGGATTGTCATTTTAAGGGCTCTCCAGAGATTGGGTTCAAGTCCAATCTCTGGCAGGACCACTCAAGAACATCACATAGTTGCCCCTAAGCCACTTTTAAGGTGTCTTTGCTTTATGCGTTGGTCATTGTCCTGGTAGGTGAACCTTCAGCCCAGTCTGAGACCCTGAGTGCTCTGGAAATTGTTTTCTTTGACGATATCTTTGTATTTTTCTACAGACAGATTTCTATCAACCCTTACTAGTTTCCCAGTGCCTACCACTGAAAAACACCCGCAAAACATGATGCTACCACCACCACGCTTCACTGTTGGGGTGGTATTGAGAAGTGACAGGTTTGCCCTAAACATGATACTTTGAATTGAGGCCAAGCAGTTCAATCTTTGTTTTATCAGACTATAGAATATTCTGTCTCACAGTCTGTTTGTCCTTTAGGTGCTCTTTTTGCTAAGTTCAAGTGGGCTTTCATGTGTCTTGCAGTGAGGAGAAGCTTCTGTCTGAACACTCTGCCGTAAAGGCCAAATTAGTGAAGTGTTGCACTGCTGCTTATCTTTACACAAATATTCCCATCTCATAACATGATCTTTGGAGCCCACTCAGAGTGTTCTTGGTCACCTCTCTTATCAATGCCCTTCTCCCCAACTGCTTTTCTATTTAATAATTATGGAGGCCACTGTGCTCTTGGCAACCTTCAATAAAGCAAACATTTTTATAGAGCCTTCTCCAGATCTTTGCCTTGATACAACTCTGTCTCTGAGCTCTGCAGGCTGTTACCTAGATCTCATAGCTTGTTGTTGCTCATATAAACATGTACAGCTGTGAGACATTTTTTAGATGTGTTCTATACATTTATAGGTGGTTGCCTTTCCGAATATGTCCAGTCAATTGAATTTGACACAGGTGGGCTCTAATCAAAGGTTAGAAAACATCTCAAAGAATAACCAGATACATGGGATTCATCTGAGCTAGATTTCAAGTATCATTGCAAAGGGTCTGAATACTCATGTCAATGTGATATATCTTTTTATTCACAAATTTGCTCAGTTTTCAAAAATCTATTTTTGCTAGTGACTGACATGAATAAAATAAAATAATGTAAGAAACATTGAATGTGAAAAAATAAATGAAGGGGTCTGAATACAGAGAGAGAGAGAGAGAGAGAGAGAGAACCCAATCAGGCTCAAGGTCACACTGTTATATATAGTTTTATTTTCTACAGTGACATAACTTTCAAACAGTGCATGCCAATATTACATAGCTTTCTGATGACATATGAAGTCAAGGTACAGAGGTGGTAAATACTCCAGGTGCATAACTTTCTCACATTCAATTTATGATACTTCTAGATAACAGAAATATAGATAAATTAGGCCTCTATACCAGGGATAGGCCACCTTCGGCACCCTAGATGTGGACTACATCTCAAATAATGCTCTTACAGCCGAAACGCTGGTTAACCATCAAGGGAGATGTAGTCCACAACATCTGAAGTGCCAATTGTTGCCTACCTGTGCTCTATATTAAAAGCTTATATAACTCATAGACGTAATAGCTGTATGTATTTGTAAAGACAAACAGAGTTGATTTTCTCATATTCACTTGCTTATATTAGGTTAGCACATTGGTGGAATATATATCCAAAAACAATCTCTAAATTGTTGTTTTCCGGATATGAGCATTTCAGCATTAAATACATTGATGACAAGGGGTGGGCCAATTTGTGACTTATGGTAAAATAAGTAGTTAGAATCCAGAAGATTTTATGCATACAAAGTCAATTACCTAAACTAGTTATTCCACATTTATTGTTATTAGTATTTAATCAGAAATTCTACTTTTAAGCGGCAAGCAACAGAACGATAAAAAAAAAATGACAGTAGTGCATTTGCATAAAAACAACATACATGCAAAATTCCATTTAGAATGATTTTCTTTGTATCATTTTTTTATCCTTTCTTAAAAGATAAAACAAGAAAAATGATTCTGCAGAACATCAGACATATGTACAATATTACTGCATTTATTTTGTGACAAGATAGGAACAGAGAGTGAAGTTGTTTGAGGGAAAGATCACAATTGTCAGCTCCAGCTTGTACGCATCATGAACATTGGCTAGCTTGACTGACAATGGGATTTAATGTAGCCTAACTATAGTAGCCTTAAGCACAGATACTATAATATGACGATGACAGCAAAAAGGCAAGCATAAGATCTCCTCAAATTGTTACTAGCATTCATGTTGCATGCTGAAAGCCAATTTTACCATCTCTCTGAACTCTATCAGTATCAAAAGGCCAAGGGAGTTTTATTCTATTATTTCTATTCATTTATCTATAGAAAAAAATGTAAATTTAAATGTTCCATGGGCCTGCATGATGGACACGTAATACTATTGTGACTATTTTTAATATATATTTTTATTTTAAAAATACTGCTAAAACAAAATGCAGGATACAAAATAATTTAAAAGAACAATAAAAAAGAAATCAAAAGAAAGAAAACCGGGAACTCTGATGAGATGGAAAAGTCTGTGCCAATAAATGTGTAGACTACAGTAATATTCTACATGTGCATGAAGGTGGTTCATCCAAACTCATAAAAGTAACAGACTGTCACACGAATGAAATAAATATACGAATATACGGACACAGGGGAAGACAATGTGTTATGAAGTCTCTATAGTGCTCAAAGGGTTACACAAATAAAATAACAAATACATGTTAGATCTATCCAATACAGAAAACTTGGGAAAAGGTCAGTCTGTTTTCCTCAATAATGGCATTAAGAATGGCAGGGGCAGATTTGACAAGCATATGCAAATATAAAAAAAAGAAAGAAAGAAAAAAAAACAAGAAAATAACATTGCTTTTCTTTCCCTGTGATTCTCTCCATCTGTATTAAATGCTCTTTCAAATACCATGACTAACAAAAAACACAATTTATGCAGTTTAATTGGCAAAAGGGAAATTTTGAACATGGCATAAATGAACTGAGAGTTATTGCGTCTTGCTATGGATGTTAAAAAGAAACGCAATAAGATGTATTCCGTATTTCATAAAGGAACAATAGCTGCATTTAAAAAAAAAGTCTGAAAGTCTTTTTTTAGATAATTTGGGATGTATAATTTAATCATTTGGATGTAAATAAAGATGTTTACTAAATGTATATTTATAAGTATCTTGATTTTTGTACAGTATATGGTCCCAACAAGATTATATAATCTAGCCTAGAACACAACACTGCATTGGCAAAAACTTGTTCCAAAAATAAACAAAAACATTCTTCATGTTCTGGTAACACCAACGTTTAGAACGTAACATTTGAGTGAATGTTAAAAATAATTTGCAAAAAATGAATGAACGATTTCTATAGACCGACAGATACACAGACAAAATACAAAGAAATGCTCACATATCTAGTATTCTGCACAATTTAACATAAATATAGGGGATGAGGTAGCTCTTTCATCCATGTCCCCTCTGAAGAGTAACACTGAGGTCAGTTTAGTTAAAGTAACTAGCTGCTATAAACGTTATTTTGCCTTGCATTAAACATGGTCCTAATGATGAGCCAGCAGGGCTCCACCTAAATTATTTACCCATATTCACATTCTGTCTATCATGTCAGTAGTTTAATATTGACTTCTACTCCAGTGATGCCTACAGAAAGCTGCACAAAGTCTGTTCCAGGCATCTCTTAAAGGACCACTATAGGCACCCAGACCACTTCAGCTTAATGAAGTGGTCTAGGTCCAGCTAGGATTAACCCTTTTTTCTATAAACATAGCAGTTTCAGAGAAACTGCTATGTTTATATTAGGGTTAATCCAGCCTCTAGTGGCTGTCTCATTGACAGCCGCTAGAGGCGCTTGCGTGCTTCTCACTGTGATTTTCACAGCGAGAAGACGCCAGCGTCCATAGGAAAGCATTGTGAATTTTTCTTTCCTATGAGATTGGCTGAATGCGCGTGCGGCTCTTGCCGCGCATGTGCATTCAGCCGAGGAGGAGGAGAGGAGGCAGAGAGGAGGCGGAGAGGAGGAGGAGAGCTCCCCGCCCGGCGCTGGAGAAAGAGGTAAGTTTAACCCCTTCCTCACCCTAGAGCCCAGCGGGAGGGGGACCCTGAGGGTGGGGGCACCCTCAGGGCACTATAGTGCCAGGAAAACTGGTATGTTTTCCTGGCACTATAGTGGTCCTTTAATACAATTAATATTTATAGAAAATGCTTTTGTAAAATTATGGCTTCTCGGGTGTAAATCGTATCACTCAGACTAAAGGGATTATTCAATAAACTGTGAATTATGGATGATTGACAAAAGAATTGGATAAATTCCCAACTCAATCCATTTTTTCATTTTTGTACTTTAGCCTAACGTCAGTTGTACAGTTTGTAGTATATGGCCTTCTAAAGATTGTTAGATCCATTTTAAAAACCACATTAAGTTTATGAATTTCCCTACAAATGAACTGCAACCTATCACGTCCAGAACGTAAACCTATATAACAATGAAGATTCTATAATACTGTTTATTTACCATCCATTCCATCAGATATAGGTAACTGATATCATTCTCTATATGTTTTTGTATAGACAACACAAAGGAAATAAATATTCTTGTATCCTGTGTACACTCACATCCTATTCTTATCCAGCAATCTTGTGACATTTGTTCAATGTTAAGTGCTTTTGACTGATAAAACTCAGAACAGTAGGAGTTCATGTAATGAAAGATGATTGCTATCTTTTTCACTTCCCAAACAACAGGAAGGTACACCATAGGAGTACAGCAAATGCGATCACCTGACTTGTTGCAGTGCGGCCAGAGTACCATATTACCTGTATATATATATATATATATATATATATATATATATATATATATATATACACATACACATACACACGCGTTTTCCTATCTAGTGTACATCGCCTACACACAGAGAATAAAAAATGTCCTTTCAAGACTATATATATATATATATATATATATATATATATATAAACAAAAACATTTTAATCTCTGTACATGTATTATCTGCTCTGTTCATCTAATCCATATTGTAATCATGGATTTGACACATTTTTGGTAGAAATTCCCCATATGCGTAGATATCTAGAAGATGCCATTTAACTAAAAAACCACTTATGGTCCAATATTTACGACAAGAAGCAAAATAAATGTCACAATAAATTACTGTTGAGTCAATAATATTCAAATGCATTTTGCTCTTGGAAAATGAATTTGTGGTGTGATGGCTGGAAACTGCTTATTATTGTATTATAAAGATTATTTGGCAATATTCTCCCGTTGTTGGGTCATTTTGGGCTTTGGCAATGTTACATTATTTTCTCTTTGATAAATGGAAAAGACAGTTACAACTGTAAATCATAATGTATTTGATTTAAACCCAATTATTTTCTTATATAAGTATGGCAAACATTTTAAGTGGTTTAAACACTTTTTTTTAAAAGCACCTCATCTAAAATGTATGATACATTATTTATTCTTAATGACAATTATTTGATTCACAAATCGTTCTCTCATGTCAAGTTGATTTGGTGTCTATGTAACAGGAGCAACATTCTCTATGCAGCTGGCCAACAGTTTTTATAGCAGGGGTTACAGTCATCACCATTTCACAAATGATAGAACAAATACTCTTGTTAAATTAATTAATTTGGTGACATAGAAGAAATCTAGTTATTGATTTACCCAACCCCCAAAAAAGTTAAAAAGTAAGTAACGTTAAACTGACATAAAATATGCTTACATTTTTAATGCCACATTAGAGGCAAAACAAAAAAAAATATTGATATTGATGGGATGTTGTAACATGGTCATGTATTTCTCTATATGCATTCATGTTTTAAACTTGGAGCTAGCTCATGGCTGATTCTGCAGGAGGTTAGAACTGGCAACATTGCCAAATACTCCCTTCAATCAGCAGCAGCAAATCGTGAGATGTCAAAAATGTCACAAAGTCCTTTTTGCAGAAACTTGAACGAGACTGTCTGTGACCCGATCAACTTCATATTGAAGTCCCAGGCAGTGGTCAAAATGGCATGTACCTAGCTAGATATGGGAAAAAAAATGAAATTCCAGCCATCAATGAGATAAGAAGACAAATAAGCTACCAAGGTAATATGGAAAAGGTAATATATTTTTAAAATGATAATTTAGAAATGTATTAAAGAATATGGACCCTGTGGTTTAATTAGTACATTTAAATCAGATAAGATTTTCCTTGACTTTCTATTTCCCTGGGTTACTTTCTATATGCTCAGCTTTAACACCTCTCTACATTCGGTAACACCTTCCAGACTCACCGTCTATAGCCTCAATACACTAAAATCTATAAAGAACTTTTGTTTGTTTGTATATCCCAAGCTTGTATTTGTAATGTATGTATATCTGTATTGTATATGTACATTTGTTTTATATTGAAAAACAAATAAATATTTAATATACCAAAAATAATTGCATGTACCTCAAAAACATGCTATTTTATGGGGTAAACTTTTTTTATATATAATTATTTATTTATTTTATTTGCTGCATTTTTGCACTGATTCCATTATTACCTATATATATATATATATATATAAATATATATATATATATTGTTTCAAACTATTTTTAATATGTATATTACAGGTGTACAATATACAGTATCCCTTATTTAGGTGATATATATTTTACTTTAGAATTTAATTGGAAAATATGACAACATTTCTAAAGCACATATTTAGGGGAAAGCAAGTCCAGAATTATCAAGCTTTCCTCCTTCTCTATTAGCCACCATGGGTTATGAGTAATAGGGAAAACGTGTCTTCTCACATAATGTGCAATGATATATTTGTGTACTGATTGTGCAACTGTCTACCCATCTGCCTTTCTGGTTAACCGACGACTCAAAAATGTAAGTTAAACCTCTTGGAAACAGCACTGGTGACCCAGAGGTTGGAACGGGTATTTCATAACCATAAGTCTATTGTCACCAACTACTTGTATATTATGCAAATTGTAAATGTCTGCAGGCTATGTAGATACTTAATAAACAGACTAATAAGAAAACTAGCATTCTCTACAATTATAATAAAGACTGAAAAAATGCACAATTTGAACAACAATAGCACATATTGTTATACCTCACTTCAAACATCTGGCTATAAAAACATCTTATGAGCAATCACTTTTATTACAATGACCTATTTTATAGATAAGCTGTCACACCGCTGTAAGAGAGAAAACACAACTACAGCAGTGTCACATGTCATAAACTGTTTATTATAGCACACAGCTCACAAAATCGAAATAGGGGGAGGGTGTATAATAGGTGTGGGCAATAATTAGCATTTAACATGAATTCACTTCAACAAGTACATGCATTTAAAAGATGATTAGCTAATTAATGAACTCCTTGTCACAGATTATTTTCAAAGCTTTCATCAATTTCACCTTAAATCCATGACAAATATTAGCTATTTAATTGATGCAGCAGCAAAGATTGTTTACCTCCCACCCACAAACACAGAATAGTGCTCACGTACCAGAGGTTAACAACATTCTAATGACATTCTCTGGTGATGCACATGGGGAAAAACAGGTGTAGCGATCAGAAATTATGTGATATTTTAATTGCACATAAATAAAATCAAAACGCAAGTAATTAGTTCAATTATTTGACATGTGTGTTTACAAATATTCAGGGGAAATGCTCGGAGCCTCATTGAAATGAAAGTAAAGTTTGGAAAACCTTGACATTATTTTATTTAATACAAGAGTAAACAGTAAAACGTTTATATATCCAACTGTGAGAGGTTTTCTTCCTACAGAACATGTGTAACAGTAATGATGTCAGAACGAGACACTAGTCATTTATTACAGAATAGTGATGTCATTATTAGGTATTAGGTAAGGACTGCAATGTTCACCACAACAAATGTTGGGAGGAGGAGAAAGAAATAGGGATGATTAGATTCTCAGTTTAGTTTGACTGCTGATTGGTCATACATACATGGTCCTTATTCTGGCTCTCATAAGGTCACAAATAATTTGAACCATGTATTTTCTTAATAGAAGAAAGAAAATCTTAGTGCCTTTTGGAAACAGAACTGGTGACTGCACTTTATATATTCATAAGTATATATCAGGGTTTTAAAATTCAAGTGGAATATTCATGTTCATGTTGATTAGTCCATTATTATAATATTGCCCCAGAATTGCCCAGTATATATTGTCCCATGATGTGCAAACAAATCCCATATGCACACAGCTCACCAGACAGCTGCAAATTTAGATTGCTACCACACATGCTGTCCATTCAAAGCACTGCTATGTAAAGAAAGCATGTTTTTCAATATTGCACTTTTTACACTTACTTTTCCAAGGCTTGGAAAAAACAAAGTATGACAGCATGGCTTAGTTAGCAAATATGACACCCTGTCCTTAATGTACTTGTCTTAGTGCAATCAATGAAGGTTTTTATCAAAAACAAGTATCTCCTATGTTAACTCTATGTTTTTCCCAGTGTTCACAAAAGCAAAATTCAAAATTCAAATTACTAGATGTCATTGTCAAGTCCGGAAAACCAATTTCAGTTATTCCTCTGTAGGTGTTCCCCTGTAGCAGGTTGCAGCAAGATATAAAATGATCTGAGCTGACTGTGTTTTAGATTACTTTGGCTTAACAAATGCCTTTACAGAGAACAATTTCAGTTACCCGAAGCTTTTCTTTTGTAAATTTCTTTTTGCTGATTTCTTCTTAAAAAAAAAAAAAAAAAAAAAAAAAAACAGCCATCGATCGTGAATAAAGAATTAGTCAAAAAGGTAAGTCAATACAATGAACTTTCTCGAATCTCAATAAAAATCAGTCTGAACAATACATGTGGAAATCTTTTTATTTTTTTTTATGTATGTCAGTGATTTGACAGTGAAAGACCTCAAGAGAAGCAATAGAGGTCAGTTTTTCGGTGCTTTGATTTTGCTCTGTTAAGGTTAGTTCCCAAACACTTCACAGGTGGTGCTATATAAGCAGCTTAAGTGACTATCTTGTGCCATAACTGATATTTTTATCCCTACTTGATTAAGGATTGGAAACTACTATATAAGTGACATGGACTTGTCAGAATGCAATAAAACAAATACGAAGTTAAAGAGGCATTGCAAAGGCTTTACAAGATCGCATGTCCGCTCGTGTGAAGGTGGCAGAGTGGTGGGCAGATAAGGTAAGTATATCTCCTTAAGTTTTCCCTCAACTACACTGCCATCTTCTCATCACCATACTTCTTCCTCTCCTGGGTACTTCGTCTGCCATGGGTCTTTTTTATTTATTGTAATCTCAAATATGCGTGAGAGTACAAAATGGGGTATATGGATATGTATGGAGAATATCACAATATCACAGGATCTTCCGTAGATAATCTTACAAAGGCAAAAGCTGTGCATTGAAAATGGCTACGGAAGTGCCATTTGCCAAAAAAAATCCAAAATTGCCAATTAGATTAAAAAGTAGACCATACTTTGCCTCAGATATATCTCTTTATTGAGATATAAAGAGACAAAACACAGACAAAAAATGCTCAGATAAATTCTACCATTAATAAAATCTCAGATGTGACATAACCAAACATGTACTCCTGACAGAGTGGTAAAATAGCTATTTAGGCCTGATTCTTTGTAGTAAAAAGGTGATTTCTCCCTGGAGTCTAGGACATAATGATTCTCCTCTGATGAAGTCTGATGACTTTTGTCCAATGAGATGCTTCTCATAGGGACACATCGTGGACACATGGGATATAAATGACAAACAATGTAAGCGGTCAATACAGTGCTTCTACAGCACATAGAGAAGCATTACATGACCACCCATATATTGCATACTGATGTCGGACATCAAAACCAATAATTCTAGTCTCGAGCCCATAGAGGCTGTCTGTCTAACAGTATGTAGGCTTGGAAACTCAAAATGTAAATGTTACAAAGCTGCTGAAGAAGAATCTATACCACAAAAAAACAGTTTATGAAGATGAGGTTATTATGGTACTTATATTGTCCCTTTAAATCTTCCAAGGCAGCTGCATACAAACATTGCTATTCTCGTTTTAAATATAAAGTGAATTTTTGCAAACTATTGCTGATTGTTTGTAACAGAAAATTGTATAAAATATATCTTTTTCCTCAAAGCCGATTCTTATTAACTAGTGAGTGTTAATTTTTACACTAAATGTATACACTAATCAAATTCAGTTTTCCACTAATATTTGAGAACTACATTCCCCGAAAGCCAGAAAGAACCTTAGTATACAATCATCTGCAGTACCTCGGTTAGCCGTAATTGTTCAATGTTATAAGAAGCAATGTTTCTAAAGGTGCCTCTATGCAAAACTAAAAATAGGAGAGAGTGTATACCTTTCATAAATGGTGTATATTGAGTGAAGTAATTTGACAAGGTTCCATCAGCATGCTTAGAGATGACAACAAAACAGGTTTTAGAAATCCAACTGAACATGTTGATGTCACATTTGTCAGATTTTTCAATAAAAGCTATACACTACAATGCCATAATTAATACTGAATGTCAATGCACCATACAGCTACACAAACCCATCTTATTTGCTTCTGGAAACAAATTGATGGTTGATAATTATTATGGGTAATTAAACTGGATGCTTGTAATGGCCAGTGCTAAAAGTGAAGAATATGACCTTTGAGCGGCTTGTTAATGTTTGAAAGATAAACCCAGCACTATTAGATATAGCATTTTCATTTCCCATTAAGTTGAAAGGGGAAGTGCAAGTAACCTGAGGAAGAAGATAATAAGAGAACCGGTTTCAAAACATTACGTGATCAGGAAATAATCAATTATATGGTTCCAATGTTTATAGTAAGAATGGTTCTTCCAAACCCCTTACATACATTTGTGAAATGTAGTGCACTCACCTAATTAGGAATTGTGTGTATGTTCTAAAATGTAATAAGTTTGCAGAACCGGTCATTAATTCAGGTGTGGAAGGAAAGCCAGCCCTAAGACATAATTTTTGGACATTAAAATCCCTTGCATCAGAGTTCCAATTGATTTCTACATTTCAAGATAGTGAAAAGAGACATTTTCCAATTTGCACTACCTTTAATCGAAGCCTTCTGAAAAAATCCTTTAAATATCCCTACTAGTGCTTTAAGAGCGCTCGCGCATACGCAAAGCATTCCAGAAGATGCTGGTTGGCCATTTTGGACATGCTTGCTAGAAGGGAGCCCAACCTCCCCCTGTAATAGGGGACCTCCACGAGGATTGAAGCTGGATGTAAATTCGGATGACCAAACAAGTGCAGCGTGGACTGAACAATGCCGGTGGCCCTTTTGGAACAGCCAATCCTAGAAGGAGAAAAGAGCAACACCAGGGGGAATCGAACTACACCAAAAATAGTTCTAGAAACCGAGTAAAAAAACATGACAACAACAGAGAAAGGCTTCCTTACCACCTCAAAACATGATACAAGTAGATACTTTTCCAATTTTTCAGTTACTATATACTAATATGGTAACCATAACCCAGGGAGTCACAAATAACTTTAGCTATATCTGGGCTATGCACCAGGGAGAGATACTGTACTCCCTATGGTCATACTGAAAAACGAATGGCAGGTGAAATTTAAAATATAAATATGTGCTAACTAATAGCTGGAGGACGGAAAAAAGAATACTGTTGAGGAGGTGAAGACTCTTTTTACATTATGTTTAATTTAAATTTTCCTGTCCTATCAGCTCACCTTAATCCATATGTGATGCTGACATGGTTTAGCCAGGAAATTTGACATATAGACAAGTAGTGATACACCTGCTAACAAAATATCTATGAAGGGTTTGTCAGTTTACCACTGCAAAGTACAAAATATGTTAAAGGGACACTATAGTCACCCAGACCACTTCAGCTCAATGAAGTGGTCTGGGTGCCAGGACTCTCAGGTTTTAACTCTTCACATGTAAACATAACAGTCTTAGAGAAACTGCTATGTTTACATTTGGGGTTAATCCAGCCACTAGAGGCGCATCTGCGACGATGGAGGCGAATTTTGCCTCCATCACGCAGAGCATCTATAGGAAAGCATTGAGAAATGCTTTCCTATGGACACTTTGAATGCACTTGCCGCGCATGCGCATTCGGCTCCAGTGACATCAGACGGGGGAGCTGACGTTGGACGGGGAGGAGAGGTCACCAGCGTTGATGGAGCCCGGAGTTGGATTAAGGTAAATGGCTGAAGGGATTTTAACCCCTTCAGCTCCACGGGATTGGGAAACCTGAGGGTGGGGGCACCCTGAGGGCACTATAGTGTCAGGAAAACCGCTCTGTTTTCCTTACACTATAGTGATCCTTTAAACTTCAGTATTAATGCCTGATACCAACTACACAATTCTTCATGGTTTTCTTAACATGAAAGCAATTATGTCTGCTTAAAATCAGGCTTTTCAGAATCAGTTGTAGTTTTACCTGATACCAGGAAAAATGATGCGACACTCAAGCAGTTATTTTCTTCCTAATTCGTTAACATCAGTAAACAAAAACACAGATTCACGCAGGAAGACATATGAGGGCTGGAGGAGAGCTGGCTAAACTGCACAAAACTGCAAAGCTGAAACAAAGTTTGGAGTAATTACCTATGGGTCAAACTGTATAAACACTATAAACTTTCAATATTTAATTATGTCTAATTATTATGCTGATATTGGGAGTATTGCTTGCATTCATAAATAGATTTTTCAAATTAAAATAATATTAAAGAAGAAATATCACTTTTCATTCATGATTTTTAATAATATATGTAATATGATATTTAACAAATATGTATTTGTGAGTTATAACATTTTTTAGAAATTAAATTTATTAAACATACATATTTATCCTGCAACAGTGTCATTCAAACCTGAAAATCAGCATAGAGAAATTGAGAAAAGCGGAAGAATGTAACAATGTTTCTTTATATCATCCTCATTTGCAATGTTTGCAGTGTCTTTGCCTTGTTTGAACTGGATTATGATGTGATTTACTAAATCCTTAAAGGGACACTATAGTCACCAGAACAACTCAGGCTTTATGTAGTGGTTCTGGTGTTGATAGTCTGTCCTTGCAGGCTTTTCAATGTAAACGCAGATTTTTCAGAGAGAGGGTACCGTTTACATTGGTGCATAGTAACACCTCTAGTGCCAGTCATTCAGACGGCCACTAGAAGTGCTTCCTAGTCCGTGCTGCACACTCTGCATAGAGACAGTGAATGTTCCCCATAGAGATGCATTGATTCAATGCATCTTTATGAGGAGATGCTGACTGTGTTCCTTTAATAGAAAGGTAAAAGATAATGGTGCATCTAATGAACAAAAAAAGTTAACACAAGTTATAGTAAATTTTTAATGTTTTATTCAATGGTGTAAATCCTAGAGAAGTGACAGTTCCCTTTGAAGTCTGAAATTGGCATAACATGGGGTTGAGATGTGTCCTTTTTAGATGCTCTCTGGGTTAACTAGCATGGTACCTAATTAGCAAATGTCTATATGTGGTAGCCAAGACCATCAAACATATTTGAACAAAGTGCCTGTGTAAGCCTTGAACAAGGTCAAGTAGGCCAAGGGTGAAACTCAAATCAGAGAATTAGTTCATTTGAGTCAGTTTGTTTTTATTGACCTCTTGCTGTTACAAGTTTGCTCCTACTGTGTGCTGTTTCAGTCATTTAAAACTCAATTGAAGAAAAGTACATTTTATACACTGAGGCATTTGAAATACTGTTTTTTTTCTTAATTGAATTTCATTCTCCTTATTTGGTCCTATAATTGTTCTTCAGTATATTTTTTTCTGCTGGATCCAGAAGTGAGTATTTCAAAATCTAGTACAATAATATCAATATCTATCCTAGTCTAAAAGAGTGTTGTGCGCATGCTATATTTATGTTTCTTTTAGTACCCAAGAACACCTGTCTGCTGAAACTTCTAGGAAAGGAACACACAAATCAAGCCATTGTTCTACTAAACTGAAGTATAAAAAATGTGCAGAGATTGCTTAGCCTTGACTGTCAGACTATGTCCTACTCTTATCATGGCTACCATAAATAGGTGATAACTCAGGGAGCTGATATCGCCTCTCTAGAGCACAAACGAGAAGTGGAGCTGCTTATTAAAGTGGTTATGGTGCACGGAGGCTATGAGTGCCTATATTTTATGTCAACATGTTTTCAAGTCATAAAATAGAGGTTTTTCCAGCACCCACAGCCCTGACTGCTCAGTCAGAAACCAGATAATGGATATAGATATAGCCACAAAGGGTATGGCTATGCAGAAATGTAGTTAAAGAGAGACTATAGTCACCAAAACAACTTTAGCTTAATGAATCAATTTTGGAGATCATGCGCCTGCAGTCTCGCTGGTCAATTTTCTGCCATTTATCTCTCTGCATGTGACTTGCACAGCCTTCCTAAACACTTTCTGTAAAGAGAGATCTACTGTTTATGTGTCCTTTATTGCACAGTCTGTTTAATTTAGAAATGTGTATCTCCTGCTCTGTTAATAGCCTTCTAGACCTTGCAGGAGCCTCCTGTGTGTGATTTACAGAACAGGTGATAAAAACTTCTAAAACAAGTTATTGTCCGATTGAAAATGAAACAAATTTTTTCATGCAGGCTGTATCAGTCATAATCAGGGGAGATGGGGCTATGGCTGCATAAACAGAAACAAAAGTAATGTAACTCCTAAATGACAGAAAATTGAGCAGTGATACTGCAAGGGCATGATCTATAAATTAAAACTGCTTCCTTAAGCTAAAGGTATTTTGAAGCCCATAGTTCTCCTTTAACCCCTTCGAGGCCACTAAACTGAGACTGCGCCCATGAGTTTGGCACCAGAGAAACAGTGTTAATTTTGTTGACTAACAATTTAAGTCAAATTTTAGTTGAGTACATCTTTGAGATTTAGTTAACTAAAACTAGACTAAAACAATATAGATGACTAAAAGAGGACTAAAAATAAAATTACATTTTAGTGCAAAGGCTATGACTAAAACTAAATTGAAATTTACCGCCAAAATTAACACTGAGGGGCCATGGGAGGGGCAAAAAAGACAGACCAGGGCATAGAGAGACACACCTAGAGGGACTGGGAGGACACAAAGAGATACAGAGGGGCTGGGGAAGGGGCAAAAGAAACAGATAGAGGCTTTAACTAAACCCATTAGATTTTAGTCATGTTGACTGAAATTTGCTGGAGATTTAGTTGACTAAAATTTACTGGAGATTTAGTTGAGTAAAATTAGACTAAACCTAAAACAATTTAGATTACTATAATACAACTAAAACTAAAATGGCTTTTTAGTCAACAGAATGTGACTAAAACTAAATAAAAATTTGCTGCCAAAATTAACGCTGCGCAGAGGGTCTGTGGAAGGGGCAAAAGAGACAGATAGAGGCTTTAAGAAAACCCATTAGATTTTAATTGTGTCGACTAAAATTTCCAGGAGATTTAGTTGACTAAACCTAGAATAAAACTAAAACAATTCAAATTACTAAAATACGACTAAAACTAAAATGGCTTTTTAGTCAAAAGACTATGAGGCAAACTAAATTGAAATTTGCCGCCAAAATAACACTGCACAAAGGGGTTTAATTATAAAACAACCTAATTCCTAAATATCAATTTTAATTGAGACAATGTCATTGCACTGTATCGTTGAATGTTGATTTCTCATTGTACCATCTATATAATGGAATGTGATCTTACGCATTGTTTCAAATGTTCACTTGCTACAGGAATTTACCAACACGGGATATCTTTGTCTATCCCTTATCTTTGTAACTATACCTACATGAACTTAAAATAACGGGGAAAAAAAACTAATTATCACATCAGCATCAGACGTGTTTTGGATTTAGATGCAGAGGAGATTTTGTCAAATATATTGCACCCATAGTCTCCATGTTTTATAACAACTACAATCATTTGCTTATAGTGTCTCTTTTACTGTAAAGGAAGACAGCATGCATTTTTACACAGCCTAATTTCAGGATCCAACTGACTGTCTCATGGAAACCTATTTACCAAAAGACGTACATGGTGGCAAGGCTAGCATATAAACTGTTCAGACAAATTTCCAGTATGTCCCAAAACTGAGAAGTATACATTTGGAATTCAGTTGTCCAGCCAGTGATGCTCCCAATAGTTCCAATTTTGGTGGAACAGTCCTGATTTGGAGTCCTTATCTGTTGTCTCAGTTTTGCTCCTTGATATCTCTGGATGTCCTCAGGTAGCAGGGTGCAAATACATCATTAGACGTGCTCACGCAGTAAACAAGCACTAGGATCCTGCAGAGAGAGCTTCAGCAGTAGCAAGGTCATGTAGGTTGGAGGCTGGTCAGACAGGCCTTTTTAGTGGGTGGGCCTGGACAGACAGACCTCTTTAGTGGGTGGGCCTGGACAGATAGGCTTCTTTAGAGGGTGGGCCTAGACAGACAGGCCTCTTTATTTGGTGGGTCTGCCCACCCCATCCCACCCTTTTTCTGGATTCACCCACTCATTAAGGGCCTCACTAAAAAAGCAAGTCGTTTCACTGCTAACTTCCCCCTCAGCACCCACTCAACCATCCCAATGTCCTACCTCTCAATGTTGGAAGGTATGTTGATATATCTAACTGGAAGGATGCTTATTTTGCCATGCCAATAGCACTAATCTCACCAGACTTTGTGGAAGGTCATTGTCTTATTCGTCACCTCCACAACAGGGAACTGTACTTTGAATTCATTGTATAGAGCACTTGTGATTTTTAAGATTTTAAGCAACGACTAATAGTAATACCATTTGCTAAGACACAAAACTACTGTCTAAACAAAAGTTAAAGTAAAAAATAAATAGTTGCCGTTCAAAGCCACTGATAGGTGGAAAAGGTGAACTGTTTGAAACATCCATTAAAAACCTGTAACAAGGATCAGTGGAATTAACTTTTAAACAGTGTGTTTACAAGTCATGATTGCAAACAAGCTCATTTGCAAATGTAAAAATCCTGCCATGGTCAAAAGTATAGCAGAGGGCGAAAGCTCAGACAAAAGGCATTTTCCCTTGGTATGTACTGATTAAAGGAGGTCAGCAAGCTAACTTGCACTGCACAGTAGAGCAGACATTATTAACTTCATTCATTAAACATGGTGTGGGGAATGCAGTAGTGCCACAGACCTAAGGTCACTGGGTCTGATACTGCTTAAATTTAACTACACAGGCTTAGTTGAAACAAATTGATTTTTTTAACCCCAAGGCACCAAACATTTGTGTTTCACATGTGTGTTATGCATAGAAATTCCTGTTAAAGAGAGGGAAAATAAATTGAGAATTCAAGTATTAGAATAATGAATGCAGCAGATAGTGGTATCGTAAATAATACAAGTTGTATTCACTGCCTTGTATAAAATATTATTATTATTATTATTGCCATTTATATAACGCCAACAGATTCCGTAGCGCTTTACAATGTTATGAGAGGGAGCATTTAACTATAAATAGGACAATTACAAGAAAACTTACAGGAACGATAGGTTGAAGAGGACCCTGCTCAAACGAGTTTACAGTCTATAGAAAGTGGGGTATAAAACACATTAGGACAGAAATCTTAAAAACGCTCTAATATGTAACACTTTGAGTGCCACACCAGCAAGCTATGGAGTTTCAAAAGTAAAGGTTTATTTTTTTTTTTAAATATATGCGTTTATTTGCTGTATCTATCAGTTCCTGGTTTGTGAATAAACCTATAGGGTTATTTAAAGTCAGTAACCCATAAATATGCCATCATAAGAAGATGACATTTAACACATTTTACTAGATTATTAAATAAAGACATATGCATTTGAACTCATTAAATCTGTCCGGAAATTGCAATTCAGCTATTTACTAAAGGAAACTGCCTGAAAAGTTGGATATTTGAGGATGTATTCATACATTTCTGCTGACCTCCACACTCCAGGTGAAATAACAGCAATCATCAACTTTGATAGCTGGATTCACAGGCAGATAATGGACAAATTATAACAAGGAAGTTGTCCATAATACCAAAGCAACTCATTATTAACTCCTCCCATTTGCATCATAATCTATAAATGCAAGTGCCTGTAAGCCAGTGGAACTTCTGGAGTGGAGGATATTAGAATGGTTTTCTAGAGTCCATCCACTTGCTCCAATGTCTATGTAATACTAAAGTAATAGTTACTGATAAGTGGAGTTTATACTTCTTGGAGGAGTTATTAATTGACTCATCCATGCCCTTACACCCAGCTGTTGTGTAAGAGATTAAAGAGACACTCCAGACTCCTAAAGCAATTTATGTGTGAAAAGTGTGTCCTTTATTTTTCATTTGACAAAAAGTGCAGATTTCAGAGGAAATTGGCACATTTATAAATTAACTTTCTTACATGCCCTTGACTGTCAATCAACCAACTGGTCCAACTGCTACTTCCTGGTTTGTTTAGTACAGTGGAGCTAAACTCAAGAGACAGACAACTGCTCAGAACACTTGTCTTGCAAAGTGTGGAAGCAGAGTTGACTGGTGGAATTATCCCAATTCAGCTATTTTGACCTTAAAGGGACATTATAGTCACCCAGACCACTTCAGCTCAATGAAGTGGTCTGGGTGCCAGGTCCCTCAGGTTTTAACCCTTCACATGTAAACACAGCAGTTTATATAGCAGGGTTAATCCAACCTCTAGTGGCTGTCTTCCTGACAACCGCTAGAGGCACTTCTGCGACGCTGGTTGCAAAATTGAGAAATGCTTTCCTATGGACTGTTAGTATGCGCGTGTAGCTCTTGCTGCGCATGCGCATTCCGCTCCACTCAGGAGCTGATGTCGGCAGGGGAGGAGCGGTCACCAGCGACGAGGGAGCCCGGTGCTGGGTAAAGGCAAGTGGTTGAAGGGGTTTTTACCCCTTCAGCCCAGCAGGAGGTGGACCCTGAGGGTGAGGGTCCCCCAAGGATGACATAGTGTCAGGAAAATGACTACAGTGATTCTTTAAATCTCAAATTCACTTTGACTTCACATTGAATTCCAGACAAATCTCACTTTAGTGGAAAGAATAAAAAGAAAAGGTCAATGAAAAATGGATTGTATAATTTCCAGTTTATAAGTGATACCTGGGACTAATGGATCCACTGGGGCTTTTTAACGATTTTGCTCTGCTGTTCTCCCATATATAAAAAATGGATCAAAATAGGGGGAGAAAGCCCTTAGCAACCCTGTTAAGGGTTAATATTGCAGTGCTTAACAAGCTTCTTTCTTTCCTAGCTCTTGGCTGGCAATGTTTGCGTTATAATTATTACATTCTTTTTGGGACAAACAAATCACAGGATATGGGACCTTGGTGCTTAATAAAAGCCGTGCATTACATAAAAACAAAGGCTCACAAAGTGCCCCTTAAACAATTTTTTTATCCATGTATTAGTTAACAGTAAAGTCTTTGGAAACAATGTTTTGTCACAAATACAGGCATTATTTACAGTTATAAACCTAATGGGGAACATTACTTAAATTTCTACTTTCACTCTGGCAAGGGGAGAACTGTTACTAACTGGTAATGGCTCTTCAGTGAGTCAAGTTCTAACAAAGCACACTCATAGACTTCCAGTACAGAAAAATGTTATTCCATTATAAATTAAATCAGGTTTCTAAATCCCATTTTGCCTCAGACTTTGAAGAAAATGAGTATATCAAACGCTTTGAGAACAACTGGCTGTGCAAAAAAAATAAAAAAAAATAAAAATAAATAATAATTAAAAAAAATTGAAATGAGCCATGTAATATTGCTCCAGCTTAACATTCAACAAACATTATTTACATTGATGCAAAACCCTGCTTACAAGAAGGGAAATGAGCTTTGTCAATGTTGGTGTATACTGCAATATATTCAACAGCATCACTATAATATACAAGGGAACGCCAAAACAATAAATCAAAAATTCAGCATGACTCCAGCATAAAAATGAAAGACAAATCTACAAAAAAAAAAAAGCATGACTTTATTTTAGCAACAAAAGACAACATGTTGTTTTGACACATCCATGATATTTTGTGCATGAGATCACTTGTTGATTTCTATCAAAGCGAGGAACTTTGCTTTGCATTGGAAGTACCTATACCAGCAGCGACTATAACCAAAACACATTGACATATTTCACTTTTACATGCAAAGTGAACTCTGAAATAGCCCTAAGTAACAACCATTTTCTGGATGTGTTTTGCTAACGCCTCTGATTCTGGACATACGCCATGTCTGTAATTGTGGCGCTCATAATTCACCCAGGCACCGAAGACTGTATCTTTAATTTTGCATGCATGCTAATGTTTTTTACCACAAAAGGTCATACCTGCTTGTGATGACTGACAGATTTTCAGCTTGATTCAAAGCAAACAGCTGCTGGTTTGATTGCCTAGCAACTAAAAGTTGATGGATGACCCTAAAGATGGATAACTACCATAAATCAGCTCATTTAGACTCTCAGGAAAAAAAAAAAAAGATTAAAAAACAATGGTTTTCATGACATTTCCTGCACTCAGTAATGTTCTGTGATAAATTTGCCTCTTTTATGGGTATACGGTTGTGGCTGCTGAAATTAGACACTTTAGTTTTTAACGCCATGCACTTCTCACGGCATTTAGAAAACCCTCTGCTAGGTGAGCAAGTACTAAAACAAAAAGCGTTTAGATAAATGCCAGACACCACTTTCAGTAACCAAGGTAAAGTGGTTAACTTTATAGAATATTTACCAGTTCAGTAGTATAAGGTATATAGTGCTATATACTAGCCTGATAAGAGGTTACTCAGGGTCAATTTACAAAAGGCATGGCAATGTTCTTTTTTTTTTTGTTTTACAGCTTAATACTATGATTTAATGTAATGTTATATTGTTGTTGGAACAGTGGCTTTATGTTAGTCTTTCCTTCCAAGGAGGGTTTGCAGGTACCCCAGTACCAGTGGAGGCTCAACCATTTGGGCATTTGGGGCAGTGCCGCACCAATTTTTATGGGGGTGGGGGGTGGATAAATAAATATTATTATTTTTTTGGAGGGGAGGGTGGTAAGCCAAAAAATTAGGGGATAAGAATGAGTGTCTCTTTAATTTTGTAATAGGTTTCAGTTCTGCAGGGCCCCTCCCCCATTTGGTAGCTGTTTTGAGAAGCTTGCTTGAGAGCAACTAGACATGTCAAAAAAATTGGTCTGGTTTAAAATCTGTCCCAATTTAGCAGTTTTGCATATATTGAAGGCCATCATTGGCTGATAGCACCAGGGGGAAGGTTTACAGTGCCCACAGGACAGAGAAGCAGGAAGCCATCTTGGAAGTAACACAGATAGAGCATAGCAGCAGCAGCTCATGTAAGTGAAAGCCAAATGTAAGTGTATATTATTATCATTTTCTCTCCCCCAATAGCCCTAGTGACTGCCTGAGGGCTAATTAAGCAAGGAATTTACTAAAAAAAATGTATAATAATACACAATAATAATTAAATAATACTTAAAGCTAGGGATGAAAAGGGAGGGAGACATTTCCGACAAAAGCACTGTGCTGCCTGTCACATTGTTTCAATGACTCCTACTGCACATACTCATCATCTTCTGTAAAGTGCTCAATCGCCTACAGATGAGACTTGAGACACTTACGTTGCTAGTTGAAAAGTTGTGAAGCTTCAAACTGCATGACTGGAGCTGTGACACTGAGGACTGGTCTGATCTGATTTCAGTATGCTTTAATCTGTAATGATTGCTGGTTCTGTTAACCATGTCTGCTACTTCTGTGTGTTATTTCTCTGTATTTTACTCCGCTCTCTGTGGTATGGGTGTCTCTGTAGTCTACTCAGCTCTGTGTATAGTACAGGTATCTTTGTATTTTGCTCAGCTCTGTGTACTGTGCCTCACTTTTTTTCTCACCTCTGTTTATAGTATGGTTATCTCTGTATTGCACTCAGCTCTATGCAGGGGTGTACCTAGAGCATTTGGCACCCGGGGCAGGTCCTATTTTTGGCACCCCCCTCCACCCCCAACTTTAAAATGTAAAAAACAACCACAATTTAAAAAAAAAAAAATGTATTTAGCACTAAGCAGTGTTTATGCTTTTAAATGTAAGCATGTTTTTGTATGGAGTATGTTTGAGTGAATGTAGGATGTGTGTCTGTATGTGGTGTTGGCGTTTGAATGCAGGCATGCATTTTTATGTAGTGTGGTGTTTGAAGGCAGTGGTGTGGTTATATATAATGGTGGAGTTTGTATGTAGTGTTGACGTTGAAATGCAGGGGTGTATTTGTGTGTAGTGTTGGCGAGATTCTGAGATGTATGCACATATACACATACACACACCTAAATACACACTGACACACATGCAGATACATAGACACATAGGAACAATATATAGGGGGTGGGCACATAAGATACCACAATCCAAACTGGGGGGGGCACTAAAACTTTTCACTAGGGGATGGGGTAATGTGCTGCCATTGGCTGCCTGATGCCAGCATGCAGTGCACATTGGCATCAGTCAACAAATTTGCATATAATTCACATTAGCCACCCTGATTTCTTGTTTGTGGGCTAGCTGACACTTCTTAACGTTGAGCTTTGTTTATCAGATAACTCCCTTATTTGCTATCCTTATGTGGGATTGCCATATTTAAGGACACCAAATAAGGATAAGGGAGCTATCTGCTAAACATCACCCTAATTTGGTATCTTTAAATATGGAAATCTCACATAAGGACACCAATTTAGAGAATTATCAACTAAACAGCTAAAATATTAATTTAAAAAAACAAACAAACCTTTTCTTAATTTCATTTGTTTAGTAGATAACGCCCTTATTTGTTATCCTTATGTGGGATTGCAATATTTAAGGACACCAAATAAGGGAGCTATGTACCAAACACATACACATTTATATACACACACAATAAAACAATAGGTGTATGTCTGTGTGTGTATATCTGTGATTGTGTGTGTGTGTGTGTATATATATATGTACATATTACATATATATACACACATACACATATACACACACATACACAGGTGTGTATGTATGTGATGTTTGCGTGTGTATATCTAATTATGTGTGTTTGTAATTGTAGGTTGTGTGTGTATCTCTGTACTTAAGTGTGTGTGTGTGTGTGTGTGTGTATATATATAAATATATATATATATATATATATATATATACACACACACACAGTTAACATAATATATATACACACAAACAAACACACACACACACTTAACTACAGAGATACACACACAACCACACACATAAACACAGACATACACAATCACAGACCCACACACATACAATTACAAACACACATAATTAGATATACACACGCAAACAACACATACATACACATGTGCGTGTGTGTGTATATATACATACAAGTGTGTGTGTGTGTGTGTGTGTGTGTGTATATATATATATATATACACACACACTTAACTACAGAGATACACACACAACCACACACATAAACACAGACATACACAATCACAGACCCACACACAGACAATTACAAACACACATAATTAGATATACACACACAAACATCACATACATGCACACATTTAATAATTAAGAGGTCCACCCAGCCTCCCTATCTTGATTTGGGAGGGCTAGAGTGGATCCTTAGTCCCTGGTAGTCAGTGGTTACTGTGGTATCTCTGTGCTCTTCATGCACACGTCCCTTGCACATCCTGTAATATGACGCCGATGCTTTGATGATGTTATGTGCCGACTCACTGCAGGGCGAAGACAGTCAGATACAGTCAGATGTACACAGTTATACGCATATACTGTCAAATACAGCCACATGCACACCGTACCAAACACATAGTCACTTGCACACTGTCAAACGCACAGCTGCAGGTAGACAGTAACACACACAGTTACAGACAGACAGTCACACACACACAGCTACAGGCAGACAGTCACACACACACACACACACAATTACAGGCAGACTGTAACATAGTTACAGGCAGCACACAGTCACTCACACTCAGTGACATGCAGACAGTCACACACAGTCACAGGCAGACAGTCATACACAGTCTCAGGTAGACAATCACAGGCAGACATTCATACATACAGGCACAGGCAGACAGTCACACACAAAGTCACCAAAAGTCAGTCTCACGCACAGTCACAGGAAGACAGTCACACTCAGTCCCAGGTAAACTGTCACAGGCACGCGTTCACAGGCATAGACAGTCACAGATGCAGTCCCAGGTGGACAGTCACAGGCAGACATTCACAAAAAGTCACAGACATTTACAGGGAGACAGTCATAGATGCAGTCACAGGCAGGTAAACACACAGTCACAGGCAGAGAGTCACAGGCAGACAGTCACAGTCACAGGTAGACAGTCACAGGCAGACATTTACACACACAGACACAGGCAGACAGTCACAGACGCAGTCACAGGTAGACAGCCATAGGCAGACATTCATACACACAGTCACAGATAGTCACAGGCAGACATTCACACACAGTCACAGGCAGACATTCACACACACAGTCACAGATAGTCACAGGCAGACATTCGCACACACAGTCACAGATAGTCACAGGCAGACATTCGCACACACAGTCACAGATAGTCACAGGCAGACATTCACACACACACACAGGCAGACAGTCACGAGCAGTCTCTCACACACACACACACACACACACACACTCTCTCTCTCTTTCTTACTTACTGGTGGAGGAGTGGAGTCAGTGAGTCCCTGGTGTGTTGGAGTTGGGGAAGCAGGGACTCTTTCCTGCTTCCCCTCAGTGTGTTGCAGTGAAAGGGAGCAAATGGAGGCTGGCTGTAGCTCCGCCCCCACATCCGGGTTGGCTCTGCCTCCACTGCCGAGTTGGCTCCGCCCCAATTATCCGTGCAGTACTTCTGTACTGCTGAATTCCCAGCCCCTGCGTGTGAGCTGTGTGGCTCCCGGCACCCTGTGCAGCCACACAGCTCACAGAGTCACAAGCTTGGCCAGCCCTGGAGGCACCCCCCTACCTGGTGGCACCCCCGTAACTGGTGGCACCTGCTACGGACCGCCCCCCCCTCCCTAACCCCCGTTAGTACGCCACTGGCTCTATGTATTTTATAGATCTCTTTATGTTATGCCCAGCTTGGTTTATTGTATGAGTGTTTCTGTATCATGCTCAGATCTCTGTATGGTTGCTGGTTCTGTTAACCATGTCTGTATCTTTGGACTGTATAGGGTGGAGTAAAATTCTGGGGGAGGAGTCTGGCACCTCACAATCTTAAAACTGCACCAGCCGCCACTGCCCAGTACTATTTAGACCTGAGTGTAAATGTGGCTGCACTCTGTGTTTGTTATGGGGAATTTCAGGATGACATGAAGGTTACATTGCTGAGCATAGCGCCTCATGTGTCTCAGAGAGAGGAGAAAAAAGTCAAAAAGACAGAAAAAATAAACACATTACAACTATATTTTCAAGGAGTCTGACGTATATCGTAACAGGTGCATTTTTTTATAAGCAAAAATGCACAAACAGAGCCCAATACCATTACACAATTTACCCTGAAGTCAGAGCTGCCATTTTATGTGAGCTCTGCTTTAGATTACTGTCATCAACAGTGGCAGTGACATGCTTGTTGGCATCTAAGAGTGACCGAGTTATGTTTCCATCAGTCCAGTTGCAACTGTTTTCGATCAGGGGGCAAGAAAATACTTAACTTAGAATACCACACTTTTAATTTAGAACAAGCATGTGAATTCCATTGTAAATGATACATTGGGTTAAATTCATTTGATTATATTCCATCTTTAAAAAATCTTAAAGGGAAGTACTTTGGTGGAAACAAATTAAAGACACGCATATTCAACAATAGTGTGTACTCTCCCCTCCCCATGGGGAAAATGGAGTGTGTAATTATGGTACATAAACTACATAAGAATACACAGTGATTTATTATAATCTACATACATTACTAACATGGCTAAATTCTTGCTCATTCTTAAATGTAGCTGTATCCTGACACTTACAATAAAATATAGCCAAATCCGCATAATGAACTACACTTATTGAAAAATGGTTATGGAATGTTCATGCATCTGTAAGTAAAGGTAATATACTGTAGGATATACATTTGGAAAACGTCCAGATATGTTACAAACATCATGGGACATTTTAGCATGAATCATGTACTTTAATGGCTTTTACTCCAAATGAGGAACCACATTTATAGATAGAGTGTATCCAGAACATGCTATGTGTAGCACATATACATTTTGTATGGGGATGGGTGTGGGCATGGATTTACTATAAAGCAGGGAAATTGTTTAAAAGTGTGAAAATAATAGTAATGATTAAGAGAACTACAATAAGAGCGTAATTACAGAATCTTATCGACAAAAAACATTAAAACAGTTATACCTTCTGTAGCGGAGAGGCAGTATAATCCACGATATCTCTGCTGGGTAACAGGAACAACAAAGGATAATCCAGGGGAATCAGCATACAATAATCCAAGTAGCGCTGTAATACTCTTTCCCTCCCAAGAACTAGACGACACATAGGCTGGGAGTCAACTGAGGTCTTTATTTCCAGCTCCACAATTTATGCAAGTCCCCATGCAAGGGGTTTCCTGAGTCCCCTCGAAGGGGAATTCCCAGAGGGGACTACATGGGGGACTTCACATTCTGGGTATTTCTCCAATCAGGCACTGCTGCACGAGAGGGATCCTCCCACAGGAATGTACCATTAAGTGGATTATCCCTCCGTGCAGCAGAACCGACAATTTATATAAAAATCCATAACTGTTTGAATATACGGTCTATTTGTATGAATGGACGTTCGGTAGATAGCTGGGGTCTGAGTGCATCATTCGTGAGATTACCGCTCAGATCCCAGCTAAAATAACCGAACGCCGCACGAAAAACACATTCATTAAAACATATATTCAAAAGACCGATTGCATGCCAGGGAACAAGACACCGAATGGCCCGGAACTCCCGAACGGCCTGGAAGCTCAGCGGTGTTCGTGCCATCGAGTAGCCGTTTTTAGTACCATGCGCTCGACGACCAAACACCGCTGAGGGAACAAAGGATCCAAGATGGCCGACCACCGCATGGTCGGTAGTTGAACGACGGCCACCTTGGAGAGCCTCTAATTACCGATTGCAACATTGTTGCAATTGGTTAACAAGCGCCACACGTCTCTTAGTGTGTGGGCTATTAAATGATAGTTCATTCATTTCACGAACGGCCCGCAAAGGTGCCGTTCATGAAGCGAAAGGAAATCAGCTATCTGCTTTTGGCAGATAGGCAATACAGAGTTACACAATCACATTGCATTATACGCTGGAACACACATCACACGAAAATCATACAGGCAACCCTTAAAGCGACAGTACTTAAATAATGTCCAAGTGGCTATGTTTGCCACACCTCCCAGGTGTCATGTATCTGGTGGAGGTGGTGCTGGAGGAAACTCATAGGATTTAGTTATCAGAAAACACTTAACCTATGCTAATTTCTCGCTTTCATGTTTCAAGTAAATCCATACCCCCTAACAGCAGGTCCGGTGAAGCAGGATTTCAGTGAGCAGGGTAAAAGGGTGGGCCACTGATGTGAATCACGTAACCAGAACCACACGAAGGGACAAACATGCCCAAAAAGGGTGTGTGTCTGCAAGAAGAATTAAATGGTCAGCCTGGCATGAATGCATGTCAGGCTGCCTACCAGTCATGCATGCTGGCCAACAAAGGTCCATTCCTCTCCTAACCTTCTTACTAGCAGGCAGAAGCTCCTGTTATACAGTCTGGAACCGAGAAAATGTGGATGTAGTGATTGTAGTAGAAAGGGAACATGCCACACTGGTCGAGAGACTGAAACAGCACGAGCATTTGCATAGTGTGCCAAGTCTGCTTCACCTTAACTAATTTCATTGTGAGCCAGTCCACACCAGTTTTGTTCCTACATCTCTCTAAGTGTCAATACTTAAGCTAGAGCATATGAAGAGTAGTAAACTTTCTTTATTTTTTAACAATAGGCCTATTCCATAGGCATGAGCCTGGAACTGCAGTTCCATCAGCCCCTATGTTAATCTTGCCCTGATTTGGGCCCACAACAGGGACAGTCCTTCCTAAAAAGAGACTTTGAGAGGTATGTTGGCCATTGTCTGCCTCTTGAGTTTAGCTCCACTGAGCTAAACAACCAGGACTGATAGCTGATGGGGGGTGGGGTGTAAACAAGGTTAATTTATAAAAGTGTACATTTCTATTGAAAATTGCACTTTTGCAATATGAAAAAAAGAGGACACACTCTTTAGCAAGATTAATTTCTCTGGGGATCTGGAGTGCCTCTTTAATTCAGGAAACTCTACAGTTGTGGGCATTTGTTACTCTGGCACCATTTTGCCATGCATGCCCAATAGCCTCCCAATGCTTTTCTAAGGGAAAGTTTTTATTTAAAGAATAAATTAAAACAGATTGCAAACCATAAATAAAAATAATTTCAGATCATTTGATAAAGGTCCTTCATTGTCTTTTGTATGTTTTTTTACCTTTTAAAAACTTATAATACTAGAAAAAAATAAAATTCTAAAAATACAAAAAAATAAACTTGGTACAGATAGTTTTGCACTTTTTGTTTGTTGCTTTTGTCTGTGTTTGCACAATTTATTAAATATGTGTGGTTTTCTTTTCATGTGTTGCTTCTTTTACGCCCTATTCATCACATAATTTCTTTAAATTTTTTTGGCAATGTAACGGATATATCAATCTTTCTGTCACTTTATCTGCCACAAAACTGACTGTTTCACTTCTTTATTATAAAACTCTTAGGTGGTCTTTTCTACAATCAATATTTTGAAGAGGAAAAGATTATACCTTCAGACTATCTTTAAAATAATTAATAAATACAAACAGATTACAGATCCCCCCCCAAAAGGCACTTTTCAGAACAACTTAAAGACCAGTATTGAAAAAAAACAAATGTGTCTAAACTAAATGTGTTTGGAACTGCACTACCAGAACATGCATGTTTCACTTGCAAGTCACAAGCAAGTAATAGCGCAATATTGATGTGGATACACAGGTATGGGCAAGAGACCATTTACTCTGAACAGCCTCATTGTTTTATAAAAATAATTTAAACCATAGCAAGAAAAACTGTGCAATACATGTGTTACTTTTTCTGTACATTGTAATATTTAAATATTACCCATAGTTTAGAGATATTTGAGAAGGGCATTTATGACCCCATAAAAACATGGAGGGGTTGTGATTTGCTTCCAATTCTGAGGGGGAAGTAAATCACACTTGAGTGAGTAGAAGTTTAAAGACAATATAAATAAATAAAACAAAACATCCATTTATTAAAGTTCATGGATCCTCGTTTTTCCAGATTGTCCCTCCTCCTCCCCTGGCTGCGTCTCAAGTTACAGCCTTGTACAATCCAAGTCTAAATAATATTCACTATGATAAATGACACCATAACTCCGATATCCACAATCAATCTTAGCTTTAAAGATACATCCATCTTCAATAATGTTGATGGGGATTCTGTAAAATGGGAAACGTGACTATTTCCTCGACCTCTGAAAACAGAAGGGGGATGGGATCTCTGAGTGATGGCTGTCAGCCTACATCTGGCTGCGGAAACATAAATTAGCTGTATGCAGACAAAATGAAAGGAGACCAGCCCTGACTAGAAAACAACTGCCGTCAAGCTAGGGCTAATGCAAAAGGTCCCTATATTTCACTCCACCTATAAAAAATATATTTTTATTATACAATTGTATACAATATAAATGAAACCATTTATTTTCTATTTACTTTTTTCCTTTCATAAAAAAAATACAAATCCCAGCTTTTTACTGTGAAGAAGTCAACCATGTATTCATATTAATATTAAATCCTCTGGCAACGAAGGGATTAACTGCTATAAGGCTCAATCAACAAGCTGAAATCATCACTTTGAGATTACAGCTAATACCACAAGTTTCTCATTAACCTCTGCATTACCATTACCCTCTGACATACGGCATTGGTAACCCTGGGGTAGAAAGAGTGCTACACACCTGAGACAATTAGCAATATTTTTAACCCTTGACAGAACAACAGAAATATTGTATTTGATGCATTAGCTCTCTATCTTATAATAAAAAAAATACTGCAACTGTTATGCCTACATATACCAGTGTATGCTAATATGTATTTAATACCATTACAAGCACCAAATATTTTACTGTTTTTCAAGGTTTATCAGATGCCTATCAGCTCCTAAAAGAGACTGTTTAGTTTTTTTAGTAGTTGACATAGATTCAGGATATAAAAGAATTTGCAGAATGTAAAATAATATCTGCTCCAATCTCACTTGTGCTCTAAAGAAGTCTTGCACTCAGTGAAGTCAAACAGAGAGGGCGTCGTGTTAGCAAGTGGGATTTGTTTAGCAGGTATGGAGTAAATTATAGAGTACATGACTGTACATTTCCCCTAGTAGTGAGTCAGAGATGTATAAATCATTTTTTCGGAAGCTATAGGCATTTAATGCAATTTTGACTGTTTTTGATTATATTTGGTAATTGCAGTATTATTTTAATATTCTATTAATGTTTTTGTAATATAATATACTTGCATGAACAATCAGTTAATTGTTTCAGATACACATTGCTGAATAATGAAAGGCATGTGTGTAGACATTAGTTAGCAGAGTTACATTAAACATTAAAGGGACACCATAGTCACCAGAGCAACTACAGCTTAATGTCCCTGCAGAAAAAAGGCAGTGTTTACATTACTGCCTAGGAACACCTCTAGTGGCAGTCACTCAGGCTGCCATTAGAGGTTCTTCCTATCTCACGTTCAACGTGTCTACGCTCTTCATGGAGATGCTGAACGCTCCCCAGACTGATGCACTGAGTCAATGAATCCCGATGAGGAGATGGTGATTGGCACAGTGTTTTGCCGCGCATGTATCATATGGGAATGCATTTGAATGGCTGATATTTTTAACTTTGATGAGCTTAGCAAAGGAGGTGGAACGGGGGCAAAGCCAGGCGCGGCAAGACTCATGCAGCGCTGGAATAAAGGTAAGTTTTATATCTTTTTAACAGGGACAAGGGAGGGCAGGCCACCTAAATGTGTTTTTATCTATACACATACTAATATATAAAAGTTACATGGAGGAACAGGTTTCTCTTCTAGCTAAATGTTGGGATAACATTTACCACATTTGCACACACCAAGCAACAAATTGTAGTCACCTATATAACAAACAGAAAAATGGTAAAAATCATATGTCAACAATAGCAGTCAAGTTGCGTTGGTTGTGGTCCGACCGTGATCTGACTTGGCTACACTCTAGTGATCAGATTCTGTATAGCTTCCTAAAATCATAGTTCAGCCATCCCTGTTCACATGTGATTTTAACCCTTTTGGTACCCAAGAGTATTTCAAATGTCACTCTAAATATGCATTGCTAGCTTCGACGAACACATTGGGCTTCAGCCTGGATCAAAATTTAAGACCCATTATTCTTAAGCACCTCCCTACTAGCCAGATCCCTACTCACTATGCAAACCTTGCCAAACTATGCATGCCTCCCAAGTTTCCCTATTCAGGAGGGACAATCACTATTTAGGGCCAAAATCTCTCTGTACCACTTTTCTATCATCATTTTCCTATTTTCTTGGAGCTCCATAGTTTTGGTTTATCTAAGTGTAAAACAGAGCACCTCAGTGATAATACTCACAGTAATGTATCTTTGACCTACAGTACATTTTTTAGAAATGAGTATGTCAGTAGGATACATTGCTCTTGTTTTAAATTACATTTCAGTTGCATAAATTGTTACTAGTCAGTAACCAAAATGTTCTTAGAACAGCCCCTAATGACACCTCTGAAAATGAAAGTGTCCCTCCTTTTTAATTTGAAAGGTTGTAAAGTATAGCCAGGTATTCATTGCAATCCTGCATAAGCAGTGGAAAAGGCATACACCACAGACCCAGTGTTAATTTGGGGGGCAAATTTCAATTTAATTTTAGTCATAGTCTTTAGACTAAAAAGCCATTTTAGTTATCTGAATTGTTTTAGTTTTAGTCTAGTTTTCGTCTGCTACATTTCCTGGAGATTTTAGTTGACACGACTAAAATCTAATGGGTTTAGTTAAAGCCTCTCTATCTATCTCTCTTGTCCATTCCCCAGCCCCTCTGTGTCTATTTGTGTCCTCCCAGCCCCTCTGGGTGTTTCTCTCCCAAACCCTGGTCTATTTATTTTGCCCCTTTCATAGCCTCTCTGTGCTGTGTAAATTTTGATGGCAAATTTCAATTTAGCTTTAGTCTAGTTTTAGTCGACTAAATCTCAAAAGTTTTAGTGGACTAAAATTGTTAGTTGACAGAATTAACTCTGATCCCCTTCCGACTGCTACCTGGAGGTTGGGGTTGCAGAATTATTTTCACTTAAGAACCCTGGAGATGCACTATACTGGTGATCGTTTGAGAGTCAGTTGCCTGATGTGCAGAGAAAAAAATAAATCCTAAAATTCTGTTCCCCCTTTACAAACCCTCCAAAGAATCCCACATCTGGTGCTTCAGCCCATAAAGCACCCCCTCCTGCCCCTAGCAATGCCTATGCTTAGTACCATACAACCTATGCTCATTGTATAATTTATGGTGCAAGAAGACCTCCTTTCACTGTGCCCCACACACAGTGACTTAGAACTGCAACCATTTGCATAAATTAGTTTAGCTATAGGTCTGTTCTTTCTCTAGTGGACATAAAACAGGTATTTTTTCATACTTCCTCCTTTGCTATCCAAATCCATCCAATTTATATATCCAACCATGCACTCCTTTACCTTGGATCAAAGCTGTGGCTAAAAGCATGTGGTACTTCCTGCTTGGAAGAAGACTAAGCACAGCCTACACGCAATAACCTACTAGCAGTTTATTCTACAGTTAAACTCATCATATCTGCACTACTTATTCCATAAACCGCTGCTGGAGAGGAACTGAAGGGATAATATCTGATACCATAAACTAGAATGAGAGGGTGTAGAGTCATTTGTATTCTGCTGGTGCCTGTCTGTGCAATAGGAACAGCTTTAGGAACTTATTTTTTGTTTTATTTTTTAAAATGAACATTTGTATATTTTAATGCATTATCTATATTGCATTAAAGAATGGATCATGTCCAAACTGTAGTGTCCCTTTTAGGGTTATATCGGCTTCAATGTCAATGTTGGGCTGCAGGTTTATATGACAGTATCTTGCTGATCTGGCGAAAAAGATGTTGTTTATGAAAATCATCTCAATAATATTATTGCAAATCTGAATTGTGTATTTGCATATTCTCAAACTTCATGCACAAATCGGCAAGTTTCTGCTAATGGTTTTCATTGATAAACATGGCCAACGCATACTGTATTAAAACTTGCAGTCTGGGAATAAATTAGACCAACATTCATTCCCACGGCCTAATTGTGACTCCTAGATAAAACCAAGAGAAACCACCTGAGCTCTCTAATTTGCCTACTGGATGAAGAAAAAATACGAGTGACGATGACAAATATCCTCTCAACACTGCAAAAAATATATATAAACGTTTTGCATTTTAAATAATGAAGAAATTAGGGTTAGAATGAAAGGAAAATATTTGGAGAACAAATATTTATCATGCTTGACGTGCAGGAAATTAGAGCACAAATATTGATGCAAAGTAGTGCTGCATTGAATCGAGTTTCTCTATATGAAAAAAATAATAATAAAATGTACTGAGCATCCCAATCTTTTATTTTCTTCTTTTGGGAATAGTATCGTCCCTACATCTGTTAAATTTTGCTTGATTCATAGCCAGAGAAGAAATCTAACTCTCAATGATACTACAGATACAAGTTTCAAGAGTGACTCTGAATGAAATGTTTTAATTTAATAAATGTTTCTTGCAAAGAAATCAGTCTGTTGGGGACATTGCTAAAGTGCACTTGTCGTGACTTAGTGTCACTTAAAAGAACATACGATTTAAAGTATGCATTTGCTTTTTTGTGTAATTTGACCTTTCTCAGTTTTAATGCTATGCTTTCAGTAGGTAAAAGTGCCACAAACGGCTGCACGAGCAGCTGGTGCGAATGGCATGTCCATATCCCACAGCTCCAGAGGGTTGATTTACTAAATGCCAAATTGTGGTGAATTGAAAATGGAATTGCAGAATTAAGGATACAATATATGAGCTAGGACAAACAAGTCTCCATAGTTTATGCTAAAAACATGGCTATTTTAGCCTGGATTTTGCAGTTTGATTTTCAGTTCACTACAAAGCAGAGTTTAGCAAATAAATCCCTTAGGACACTGGCAAACTATGAATTGTGCTGTGTTGTTTATGTAATTATTGAGCAGCCATCCCATCCATTTTAGGGAGCCATGCAGAGTGTGTGTTAAGGAATTCTGCAGGTAAGTATATCTTATAATATGTAGAATAGCTGATACATATTAAATGTCAGAATGTGACCTTGTCGTGATGACATGTTCACTTTAAGAAGCTTTATTTGGAAAAGTACATAAAGTGGATATTCCTTCTTTGCCAAATGATACTTCTTTCAAAATGATATTAGTTGTGGAGTTGGGCCATTTTGAAATGTAGATACATGCAAGGTTATTCACTAAAGGGAAAAATCAAAGTGAATTCAAAGTGTATTTCAAATTTAAGATCAAAATAGCTGAACTGCAAATGTTTAAATTTCGCTACTATGGCCTTAACCATTAAATTCACTGTGAATTCTAACTTTACTGAATAACCCTTTTAAAGTTCACCAGTGTCCAACAGAGCTAAAATACATCACTTTAATGATCAGAGTTAAATGGCATAGCTATAAAAACCTAAAATAGGCCACCACAGTGATTGAGCTTTAATTCTCTTACATGCACAGCAGCAGCCATCTTGGAGGCTGCAACCCCAAACTTCTGATACATAAGATTCTGTCATCCATGATTTCATTTTGTGCAATAGGCAATGTCCAGATGAGGACTTTATGTGAGACAGGAAATATAAAATGAGGACTGTTACAATTAAAAAATAAATAAATAAATAAAAGAATGTTGCCAGTTTTCGGTCTACAGAATGTTTTCTATAAGATATTTTGGAATGAAGATTTAATATCCAATTTGGAAGTTTATCCCAAACAATAAACTTCGCCATACTGCTTCAGGATGATCCAAACAATGTGATTAAGGGTTAATTCTGTGAATTTTGAATAACTTACAGTAACACTGTGAAGACAGAAACATCACAGACTTTCCTGGCAAGAGGCTCTGAGAGGGTAGGAGGGGACTGCAAAATGAACTCTCTCAGGCTTTGTCCTGTATGTTTCCCAAGGCCTGCCCTGGCCCCTTTGATAAATGACACATGTCATTCTGTCACTGGCTGACACTGCAGCTGGGAGGGCTGATGATATATGACTCTACTGAAAAGGAAATCAACTTTTTTGGCACTATGTATATTCACACTGAGTAAGGATTTTGTTTCTTGAAGAAAAAAAAATGTAAACGTACGATTTCTTTAACTTTAAGAAAAAAATATATTGAACGACATCTTACACTTAACATAAATTAGCTGGATAATGGCGAAATGTGCTAGCCTGTGATAAATAAAAGCTACATTAGTCAATTATTAATCACACTCCAACTTGTAGCCAAAGCTTAAATCACAGGCCTGAGCCGCCTTGCAAACAGATAAGACAGTGTTTGATAGATGTCTTGAATAGTGTAATCAGGAAAGAATCAAAGGCTTAGTCAGGTTTAACCAATAGCCATGTGTAGAAAATTCTGGAAAGAGCCACAAGTTGTGCTGCTGAACTGGAGTGAAACCAGCATCTTTTTCTACTTGTAATTACTTAAAGCACAAAAATGTTCTTAGGGGGGAAAAAATTTAAATTTTTTTCCCCCCTAAGTGTGATTCTTAAAACTAGCCTCCTGCCCTTTCAAACAGAGTACTTCAGACCTTTAACTCTTGTTCACAATTTAAACCTTAGGATAATCAACCTAGATTTTTAATACGTCACTGACACTTGACACCACTGGTATTTGTAACTTCTAAGCCTACATATTGTTTTGAACAATAGAGCAAAGGGTTAACTACTTAAATCTGAAAAAAAAGTATTTTCAGAGTGACTAGAAATATCAGTAAATGCGCACAACTTGATTCTCCTTGCTTAAATCCAAATATCTACATAAAACACTTCAAGCTTAACTTCACATGTGTATCACGGTTTCAAAATATTGCCTTGGTTCATATTTAATGCCAATGTGCACATGCGCAAACTAATTAACTAACTTGCGGGGTAGTTGGTTAGTCAGCAGTTGGTAATCTGTATCAAACAATGGCAGTGTTAAATATTGGGAGATATAAAATGGTTTAAAGGACCACTATAGGCACCCAGACCACTTCAGCTCAATGAAGTGGTCTGGGTGCCAGGTCACTCTAGTTTTAACCCCGCAGTTTCAGAGAAACTGCTATGTTTACACTAAGGGTTAATCCAGCCTCTAGTGGCTGTCTCACTGACAGCCGCTAGAGTCCACTTCCGCGATTCTCACTGTGAAAATCACAGTGAGAAGATGCTGACGTCCGTAGGAAAGCATTGAGTAATGCTTTCCTATGGGCGGTTTGCCGCGCATGCGCATTTGCCGCTGACGTCGGCAGGAGGAGGAGCGTTCCCCAGTGCCGAGGGAGCCCAGCGCTGGAGAAAGGTAAGTGGCTGAAGGGGTTTTAACCATGAGTGTGTGGGGGGACCTAAGGACTACATAGTGCCAGGAAAACAAGTTTATTTTCCTGGCACTATAGTGGTCCTTTAAGTTTTAGATCTGCCAGAAGGCTGAACAAATAACTCCACTCAACTTTTTGCAATTTAAAGGTTAATCTAAAAAAAAGCTGAACATGAAAAAGTGTCATGAGTAACACAGGTACTAAAGAAATATACAAGATAATATATATAGCATTTTATTGTGCCATGAAGAAGAACAAAAATATTTTACATTCTGATCTTTGAGCATAATTTTTTATGCTTTGTAAATGTAGAATTGTATAAGCAGTGATGCAAAAATAATAATACAAAAATACTGAAATATATCCTTCTGACTTCTTCTGCGTGAATGGCTTAGCCCGGTCATTATTAAATGGATTCACACAGGGACATGAAGTGTCTCAAATGTGATCATTTTTGCACGGATTACAATTTGAGAATTTGGTTTAATCAAATGAACCCAGATTGGGCTCTGAAGCATCAGAATCAAATATATATATAGAGCCTAAAAAAGAAAATATATTTTACATATATTACACATATACATTTATTCTTGCTTAATTGGGCTACACAACAATTTGACAAGTCAAGACAAAATAAAAAAAAGACTTATCACAAAACAATTACACCAATACTTCTAACATTTGAGATTTAAAGAAAAAAAAAATGCCATTGTAGTACTATTAGTGTAAATATATTTAAGAATCACATTTTTGAAAAATAACATCACAAACAAAAAAATTCACATATTTTGGCATAGTTGCAACCAGTCTTGAATTTGGCAAAACAGTCTTGATTTGTATTTAAATACACTTATGGCTGTTACTGGTGATTTCGGGGCATTTCTATTCTAGTGGGTCACCTTGCCAGGTTAACAGACTGTCTTTTCGGCTTTGTCATTGGCATGCCTCCATGCTGCCTTTGCCCCTCTCATTCATCCAGCAATTTGCAGATGATTTGCTTTTATTTTGTCTCTTGCTCATAAAATGTATTTTCTAGTGATGTTACAATATTACGGTTACCCTGTGCACAGTTCAGTCATATTTTGTATAATGATTTTTAATGTACAACCCAGGACATACTTGAAAACAAGAGAAATCTCAATGTATCCTTCCTGGTAAAATATTTTATAAATAGAATAAATAAAGAATAAAATAATGTGATGTAGTCCAGGAATCAAAGAAACATTTTGCACACGTGTGCTTTTCAAACTAAAGCATCCATCTTTTTCTCGCCTATACATTACATAAACCATTTTAATCTCTTTTTTTGACTGCAGCAACCACCTCTAAGACTGCATTGCTCTCACTTACATTCTACAACAGCGAGTTAACCGAAATACTACCAGCAGCCTTCTCTTCCTGAAACTTCCATCTTCATTTGCTGCTCAAATTCGTGGTAGCTTCTGCAGGTAAAACTGTTCAGAAATTACATTTAAACTATGTTCCTGCAATTTAAACCCACTCAAACATTCTGCTCCTTGATACAAGTATTTCCATGACTGTTTTCCCTTTTTTTTGTCATACCCACCAGACTCCTCATTCATTTTGTTTCTATGGAACAAGATTTCAAGCTAATCTGTAGCACATTAAATCAGCCTAAACCCCATTCATCTATGATCCACCTTAATCCTCCATTTACACCACTTGTCTAGCTGACACAAGCCTCAAATTTTCACCTATTGGACCAACTCATCTCCCATCTACAATTCACTCATCCAACAATTCCCCATGAATAGTAGATTTGTGAGCAGATTCTTCACTACACGATGTACTAATCTGTCACTGTTCATAAAATGGAGTTTATGATACCCATCAAGCGTCAAACAAATATATTGATGCTGCTCTATAAAAGAAAAAAGCTATTTCAATATTTTCACCAGTAGTTTAGTTATTTCTTCAGGTAGGATCATGTCAAGAACATGTCAACAAATGTGTATTTTGCACATTTTATCTACTTTAAAGACAATAAATGTAAACACTCTACCTATGTCACATGTCTCAATGTCTAATTTGTAGGTGAGGGCTTTTTTTCCCCTAACTCATAGCGAACTGGCAGTTTGTAGGTCAATTCATACTCTACATTAAAGATTACAATTAAGTAATTTTCTTAGTAATGTTATCTTAGTTGAATTCTCTGGTTTAATACTCATTTATTAACATGAGCATGTTTCTTATTATTTTAATGAAAATGACTCAATTAATAAATGTGATAATGCTTTCCATAAGTCCTAAAAAAAATAATTACCAAACCTGTGAAGAGCTCCCAAGCAATGGATCTTTGCCTGCGCATGGATCTATAATTTGGCTTATTTTCAAATATTGTAAAAAAAATAAATATATATATATATATATATATATATATATATATATATATATATGTATATAACCAATATCCAGATAGCAGTCCCAGGAGTTCTTTTAATTTTAATCTTGAAATAGAACTTTTATTTGCTCAAAAATTAAAATGTAAACATTTCAGTTTGCAAATCAAACTTTCATCAGGACTTTTAAATTATAGTCAATTAAAACCATTCATACGTTTTTTTCAAAACACAAAAGTCTGACTTAAAGAGTGTATATGGCTAGTTAGCTTACTGCACGTGCTAACACCATGCATATGTATGGGGTCGGGCTGACAGGCTGACACGCTTTATATATATATATATATATATAAACAATCCTGTCCTGATGAAAATATATATATTTATATATATAATCTTACGTAATACACACTGTGCAAGATATCACGCTTATCTTTTGCTTTTCTCCAATATGGTTAGTATACTATAAAGTGTACCACCTGCCAGTGAGGCATTATTTACACTACAGCCATGCCTATATGAGTTTTCTCCTCAGGCGGGCCGTGTTTGTTTGTTATTAAAACCTGGAATACCATATTAAAGAGGTGCTCTACGAATCAGAACCACTACAGCTAAAGGTAGTGGTTCTGGTACAAACATACTGACCTACAACTTGACAAATGTAGACACTACCTTTTCAGAGGACACCTCTAGAGGCAGCAATTATTTCTATTGCAGCCCTGCAATTTTAGTGGTGGACCAACATTCGGTATTTTCACGCTCTGCATAAAGATTCTGAAAAAGACCTCTGTGACCCTGACCTTGGCTCAGCTATTGACCTCGGTACTTCTGATCTCCTAAGCCTTGGCTAACTATAATGGTTGTTCCTGGCTACTTTCCTATCTGTAAGCCCAGCAATTCTAAGGACCAGTAATATAGTCTATTCTCTCTCTACTTTACTGCTTGTAACTCTGTGTTAAGCCATACACCTACTATGACATTTACCCACCACAGGCATTCGCTGAAGATTCACTAGGAGTTGGAAGGGCACGAGACAAGACTGTAATTTTTTTTTAAATAATAAGTATTGATTTTGAATGAAATTGAGAAGTCTATGATCGGACAGCCACAGAATGACTGGGCTGGGTTAGAAGGGGAGGGTTTGCAAAGGCAGCAGGCAAGAAAAATGCAGGTCTTGCAAATTGTTTTAGCACATTAATATAAAAAACAATGCATCATTAAATGCATGCAAGTTTTCGTTTGGGGTATTATTTTACATTTGTGCAGTGTCCCTTTAATGTTCACAAGTGCTTGATTTAAAGACTGTGCATATATGGCTGGTTAGCTTACTGCACATGCTATCACCATGCCTACGTATGGGGCAGGCAGACACTATTTGGACCTTGTATTGATGCCATTATTGTATGCTTTGGTCTGCACCAAATTCCTCTAAAGTACCCAACTCTTCATGAGACACATTGCAACACAGAACAGCAATGATATTACAGGCTTCAGGTATTGGTCATTGCTTTTAGACTTGTTAATCGACTGTTTCTCAACTTCATTTACACTTAAAGAGATAAACATTAGAAGAACCCTAAGAAATTATTCAGATGCTCAAGAATATGCCCACACTGTATAAAATGGCTTAAGTGTCAGATGAATACCACACCTCCTAACATTTCAAATAGACAAAGAGGTACACTTTAATTTTAAGGCTGTGAGGCAGGTGTGTGGCCAGGAACAGTGCTTTTCTTACTAATAAAACTTACTATGACTTACTAATAACGTACAGATAAAATGTAATGTAAAACAAGAACAATGCACTTTACTTACACGGACTGATTTCTAAACACATTTGTTGAAGTTTAAAGATACATTTTTTTTGTGAGTATTATTGCTATGGAGATTATGTCACTAAGGGGGTGGGGCCAGCGCTGGCGGGCTGGAAATAAGATGAGTTTTATTAATTTTTAAGGGGGCTGGTGGGGGCAAGTCACCTAAATGGTGGGTTTTGCACTATAGAGTCAGGAATACATGTTTGTGTTCCTGACCAGATCGTGCTCCTTTAATTATTAATTTATGGAATTGTTGTATAAAAAATGTCTGTGTAGTTTTAAGTGATAATTCACCATATGCATACCATAAAATAGACCATAAAAATAATAAAACATGCATTCCATCCTATATTAAATTTTGCTAAATACATGAGTTGTCACAAATCTCTTGTCCGTGGCTTTTCAAAGCCCTTTGGAGTACAGAAGAATTAGCTGCCTTAATGTCTGGTACTCAAGGTGTAATTTTTGAAATTTTTGAGCTGCACAACTATGATGGGAAAAAAACCTAAGAAAATTAACATGAAGGTTGCCACAGAAAAATAATCAATATATTAACCAATTGATTGGCAAATATCTAAATTATATCTTGTTTTTCCTTCACAGTTATAACATTTTCAGCAAATCTTCTAGTTTAACAGAAAAACATTAAGCCTTTTGTGACTAAAGGGTTTACTTTCTTTATGTTAGCCATGACTTTTTGGTACCTATAAGTTTTAAGCAATAAAATGTATAAATGTACAGTAGATTTACCTTCTGGAAAATCTTCAAGGGAAAAGATAAACACATACAGACAAACTGGCATTTGAAACTTCTGCCATCCCTTTGGTACCATATAATTTTGCTTGAGCCCGTTCAGGATTCTGATAGTGTACAGAATGTTTATATTACCAAGGTCTCCCCATAAAACGTTTATACTTTTTCTTTATGACCTGTCCTTGATTTGACACTTCCGCTCATCAAAAAGGGATTTATAAAATAATCCTGAAGGTGAGGAACAGACATCTGTCAGGGTCTAGCTGAGTTTCACTTTGCGAAATTTAAGAAGGTAGAGAAATCCAGCTAAGCCCTCTTTAGTCACCAAAAGACATCAAAGGTAATTATTACGGGAGACAGACATAAAAAAAAAATTAAAAAAATTATGGAGTTCTTACAAAAAAAAAAAAAGGACACGTTTTCTAGGTTCTTAAAGATTGGAAAAAAAAAAAGTGAAAAATCAACATACTGCACAATCAAAATGTGTATGCACAAACCGAGAGCGTGTGATTTACCAATTTTAAAAGAAAGAAAACAATTTTACAAGTTTAAACTAAGTCTTTCAAACCTTGCCATCTGTGGGTACATGAACTATGGATGACCCCGAATGATTTGCACTCAGCTCAGAATCCCTTAGAAAGCAGAGAAAAAGTATCATTAAGAATGACTGATGACTGCCAGTCATGGCTGACCTCACCCAAGCTTTGGTCTCTGCCTCAGTAATAAGCTGTCCTTTATTAGCACCAACACTCCATAAAAGGGGTGTGTTTAGTCACAGGATAGCAGGCTTCTAATACTCATTGCTTCTCCTTGAAAGATTGATTAGTACTCATTTTTACTGCCTCCTCTGTATATACAGTGAGGATACTGTGAATTGTCAGGGCCTGTAATATTGATGGGTAGTACAGCTGCAGAACTCCAGTGTTGAACAGAAAAGAGAACAAACTTCAGAGCTGATTTTTTTTTTACTTGACTGCAGTTATTTTGATGAAACTTTTATTTATACAGCTTCAATTAAGTCTGCAGCGTTTAATATCATAAGCAGAGATAAAAAGAGTGAAGATAGATATATGATGTTAAAACATAACCAAAAGGGCTTGCAATCTAGGGCAGACCAAACACTATAAAGTGATTGCACAATGATTAGCTGTTGTTGATATATAAATAAAACTGCAAAAAAAAAAAAAAATGCTGTTGGTCTATCTATGATGGATATATAATCATGATGAAAGAGTTAATACAAAATATTTTTAGGCATAAGAGAATCCTTTAGACACTTCACTTTCAGATTTGTTGGATCTAATGCAATAACAAAATAATTTCATAAGACTTAATGTAGTGTTTATGGAATGCTGTGCTGTGTCAACATATGCAAAATACATTATGTAAAAAAATAGAAAAAAAAAACCAACACAACTAGGGGGGGTATTTGTACAGAATGTGGGCTGCAAACAATCCTGCCAAATGATTAGAATTAGTGCAATGGCCAGGTAATAAAACAATAGTGTGTATCACTGAACAGTAGGCTTATTATATTCCTGGAAACCCTGTGACTCTATGGTCCTGGTAGACTGGAGTTTGAATTATCAGCTGAACAAGCAGTAACTGGGCAGGATATCAATAGGGGATAGAAGCAAGTAATACAAAATATTTCGAGATTTCCTGGTGTACAAACAAGTAAATAGGGAGAGGAAAAAAAAAAAAGAATAATGGCACTCTGTTTAATAATGATATTATGAAATAGTTTAAAAAAAAAAAAAATACTAGCTCTTAGTAATCAAATCCCTTCTATTCTGTGTATCAAGTATCAGGTAAAATAAGAATTTAATTAATGCAGCACAAACAGGATTTGCAGCCGTGTACCATTAACAATAGTACACACAAAATAAATGGGTTTATTCACGAAGCACATATTACCACTTACCCTGTGCTATTGATCCACACGTTTGTCATCCCCTTAGTGACCTGTCAAAGGTCATAGCCAGGGCTCTGAGGCTTCTATCCAACTCTTCACAGGCCAAAGCCCCAACAATAATATTACTTTATGTTTTATAATAGACCATCAGTCAGCCGTTTGTAATAACTATTGTTAACACTGGTGTATCTTTTTAGCACTTGAAGGAGTAAGCCTCTTAACAGTATAACTAAACGACTAAAGGTTTATTACCCGTGCACTTTAATATCTCGACAGAAAGGAGTAAAATAAAAATTACAGCTGCTTAACCCCATCACCGAACTATAGCATTTCCTTCATACCAATAAGGTTAGTATTGATTGAATTTACAAAGATCCAGCCATCCTTTTCTCATGTAAGGCTACAAAACTGAGGCTTTATAATAGCAGGCATTGTGAATGCACTTCCCATGACAGGAAATTCTCATTTTAGACAGCTATTCAATGTAAAGCTATGCAAACACTCATGTGCTGCATAATGAGAGTAAAATAAAATACATCGCAATACAACAGGACTGTCACAGCCTGGCAGGTGGGCACTATGCTTTACGTATTCTCTATTGTATATCTTACAGTTTGAGGTTAGTACCGTGTAGCTCAGAGCATCTGAAACATGCAGCACCTGTTGGACTACAGCTCCCATAATGCACTACCAGCCATCATATAGTTTATATGCTCCAAAAATGTAGCCACATTTCCAGCTCTTGATCAATAATGTTACCAATAACTGCAGCAATAGAAGATGGTATTCTGGACCTGGATATTGTCACAATGCTACACATTATATATAATTTAACCCCTTAAGGACACATGACATGTGTGACATGTCATGATTCCCTTTTATTCCAGAAGTTTGGTCCTTAAGGGGTTAAAGGCTCCTGTGTTATGGGGATTGTATTTGAAGTTTGACCTTTGATAAATGCTAAAGTAGAACAATTGTTTATAGATGAACAAAAAAAAAAAAAAGATGATAGAAATACATTTTTGAATTAATAATGTAATTGATAATCTGGTATTCAAATCAAGGATTTTGCACTTATTTTTGTTTAACGTAAAATAAAAGTATGCAATAAAATGCACATGTGCTAAACCAACATCTCAGTGATGTCTCAATCGTTCAGAATAACAGTTGTTTGTTTTTTTTTTTTTTAAACAACGATTTTCTTACATATTTTCTATCTATAAAAAAGTTCATAGTTTAATTCATAACATGTATTTGTCTTTTAATCCTCCCAGATACGGTGAGGGCACAGCTGATGGCAAGTTTTGTCCATGCCATGGAACCCTCTAAGTGTTCTGCACATGTACCACCTGAAAACCATGCCAAAAATAAGATCCCAAATAGCCACTCCCTAAAACTGGAATACATAATCCCATACTTCATCTGCAAACACGCATTAAAGATTTAAATCACTAAATGTGACTTACTTAACTTACCAAAAGACCAACATACTGATCCAGTTATTTTTCCTCTGTGATGGTATACACACTAATGCAATATACCATCATACACAGGATTGTTCTGTTTTAGTATTCACAATAATTATTACACTTTTAAAATAAGAGGCTTTAAAAAAGAAGACATGTATATGCACATAATTCCACTCTAATTCCTACCTCAAGCATTATTTATTTTTATATATATATAAGCACCTCAAGTAATGCGAGAGTTAATGTAATATATAAAGCACATGTTATCTTATGGCCTGCATTAATAACTTTAATGTGGAATCATATTTACAATGTATAGTTTTCCTGACAAAATGATCTATTCCTCAAACATTGGCTCTACCAAAATAATTTTACAAAAACACCAGTCCAGATATAATTTTACTTTTTTTTTTACTTTTAGAGATTGAAAGCCACTGGACCGTTTTTTAAAAACTATTTTAAGGATATACATTTTAAACTGTTTGATAAAAAATATTTTTAAGCTATTGCGTTTGACAGTGCTTCTATAGCACTGAGATGATAATATCGATGATATACAATATATACTATGTATATATTCACCAAAATGAAATCTAGTCTGAAGCCCGAGAACCAAATATATTCAATTTCCCAGGGTC